CAAAACTAATCTATTTTCAAAAAAGGTTACGAAGAAAGAACAAGATTTATGTTTCAAAAAGAAAATGTAAATGTACCTACTCGATAGCTCAGTTGGCTAGGGTGAAGGGCTTTCAAATTAGGATAAATGGATCTACTTAACCATAGCCAGCACAGAATTTGATGATCTCTACCTTCAGAAACTTTCAAGTATACATGTATATATTGGTTAAACTCATAATTCTAAACTACTATAAGTGACACTAGTCACAAATCAAATGTAGTAAAACTAGAGCCATCAGCCACAGTGTTGTATCTATTATAGATTTTGAAAGTGAATTTTCAGAAAAATTAGCAGTAGCTCTGATGACTTCCTTAAGTAACATGAAGTTACTAGATCAGGAACATATAATAAGCTAGATCAGGAGAAACAATGAGTTAATGCAAATCTCTTTGCATGAAGAGATTTAGGGAGGCACCTATGGCTCAGTGAGTAGGGCACCGGCCCTATATACCGAGGGTGGCAGGTTCAAACCCAGCCCCGGCCAAACTGCAACAAAAAATAGCCAGGCGTTGTGGCAGGCACCTGTAGTCCCAGCTACTTGGGAGGCTGAGGCAGAAGAATCACCTAAGCCCAGGAGTTGGAGGTTACTGGAGTGACTCCACTGCACTCTACCGAGGGCGAAAAAGTGAGACTCTGTCTCTACAAAAAAAAAAGAGAGAGAGAGAGAGAGATTTAGGTTTAGATTTTAGCTGAGGCTTCAGTGCCCCAGAGGTCATTAGGTTTCAGTGATGGTGCTGGAGGGGGCACACTGCCAAGCATGAGAGCGGCAGATCGGAGCCAACAGCATTTTCAATGTTCACATTTTTAAAGTGGCCTTTTCTTAAACAGATTTCTGGGTTACCTTTGACTTGAGTCAGATTTACATTTAGATTTAGTTTAGATTTATTGCTCTAAACATAGTAGCAATGTGAACAGAGGTATAGAAGTTGAGATGTTCATTCTACCTAGAATACAGCACGCCCAGGAGGAAGACTGGAAAGCTAAGATGGGACCAGTCTGCCGAGGGCTTTCTGCTGAGGAGTTTGGACTTACTCTCTAGGTATTCTGAGGGCATAGGAGTGCTGTGAGCAAATTTTTTACTTTCAGGAGTGAACTCTGGTGGCAGAAGGGAAAGAAACCAGCATAGCTCCTTTTCAAAAGGTTTTTACTGCCTAGACCTCTGCATACTGCACTTAACACTTTGGGACCCTCCATAATTAATTGGCATTTGTAAACATGTTCACATAATTTCTGCATGTTTTAATTTTGTGAAGACTTCAGGTAAGTAGATTTTAAGATCAGCCATTTTAGTTTGTTCTTTAAATAGAGACAGAGTCTTTCTCTGTTTCCCAGGCTGAAGTACACTGGCCCAGTCAGAGCTCACTAAAAGTTCAGGTGTTTTGAGCAACAGAAATGTCCTAGGATCCTGTGTAGCTATTACTATTTTATATTAGAGAAAAAGTATGTTTGAGAGTTTCAACTACCCAGTCTTTCACTTCCTTTTTAACAGCTTTATTGAAGTATAATTTATACACCAAAAAGTTAATCCATAATTGTACAGTTTGATGATTTTTATTAAATTTATAGATGCAGTCATCATCACGATACAGATAGGAAACATTTGCATTGCCCTCAACACAGGTGTTCAGAGATTTGCTTTCTGTCTCTACAGAAGTGCTCTTTAAGGTCATTTTATATAAATGAAATCATGTAACATTATTTAGGAGGTTGTCCACATTATAGCATATATAAGAATTCTGATCCTTTTTGTCACTGAATAACATTCCATTATAGGGATATACCTCATTTTATGTATCTATTTGCCGGTTGATAAACATTTGCATTGTTTCTAGGTTTTGTTCTTAATAATGCTACTGTGAATGTCCGTCTGTGTGGGGATGTTTGTTTTCATTTCTCTTGGGTAAATTCCTAGGAGTAAATTTTGAGATCATATGCTGAATTTATGTTGGCTTTTTAAGAAACTGCCCATAAAATACTATTTACAGATGACATCATTTTGCACATAGAAAGTCATAAGGAATCCACTGAAAATGATTAGAACTAATAAATGAGTTCAGAAGAAGTGTTTGTAATAGTATCTCACTGTGCTTTTAGTTTTACATTTTCTTAATGACTAATGATGTTGAGCACATTTTCATTTGCTAACCCAAGGCATAAAGGTTGTCTGTAGAAATCTAACTCTTTCATTACACCTCTGAGCCATTTTGTTGTATTTTATACATGGTGTGAGGTAAGGACTCATTACTCTGCATATAGGCATATAGTTTGCCTAGCACCTGTTGCTGAAAAGACTGTTCTTCCCACATTGAAAATGCTTGACATCTTGGCCAGAATCTAGTGACTATAAATATAGTTTATTTCTGGACTGTTTTCACACATCACCATGGTTCTCCTCTCCTAGTCCTCCTTGCTTTCATTCCCTCCTTAAACTGCTTTTATACTTACATCCTTGTGTTTGTTGCACATTCAAGCTAGTGGTGGTAATACTCATAACCTAGTATTCCCATGTGCTCTTTTCTTATTTGGTCTTCATGTAGTTCATATCAGCCTGGGATATAGATGGGAACATTATTATTCCCAGTGTACAGGTAAGGAAACTGACATCAGAGAGGCTAAGTGACTTGCCCCTCCTTATGTTTTTAAGAAGTTGCCGAGTCAAGTTTGGAATCCTGGGCTCTTTTTTGTACACTGTACAACCTCCACGTAACAAACATCCTCTCCTCTCCATCCGGTAGATAGTGGGAAATATTAAGTTTGGTGAATTTGGGGGTCAGACTTGGAGGCAGTTTAGTATGTTTGTTGGACAGGCACAGAAATTAGATAGCAAAGCAAAACTGTGTTCAGATTACTCTTTGAACCATCTGTCTATAAGGGATTTTAATGATTTTAAATTTTGTAATAATCAGAGATACAAATTTTCAGTTGCTTCTTAAACATTTCTTCTATAGGTTTTGGGTTGTTACTTTAGGTACAGCATGTCCCAAACCTCATTCATCATCTCCCCCTCAGTCTGTTGTCTCTTTTAATATTCCTTTTCTCCACTAATGACATTTCCAACTACCTAGTCTCATAAGCCAGAAACTTAGACGTCTTTGACTCCTTCCTGACCTTCATCCAAGCATCTAATCTTGCCATTTCCACCCTACCTCATAAGGTTGTTCTATAAATAAATGGATACAATATGTAAAAAAGAACTCTGGAGGCTGTGAATGAGAGGGATTCATTTCTTCCAAGGCCACACATCTGTTGAAGCATATAGGACAAGAATAGGCCACAGAGGCCATTCAGACTTTTTATAATATTGGCACTTGTTACAGAAAAATCTATACTTACATTGGAACTAGAACTGCATAATCGTACATTTTGATAGCAGTCTGCACTCTTAAAAGCACTTCTGGGGCGGGGGAAGGAATGAGTGAGAGAGAATAAGTGACTCAGCCAAGGTGGCACAACCAGGACTGGAACTCAAGTTTCTAGGCTTCTGTTGGCTAAATCCAGAGGCCTCTTAAACTAAAAACCAAACTAAAACTTGGTTCTAGCACTCTGTTATCCGATTTAGCCCTGTCAGTCCCTACATGTAAGATAGGGATATGGTGACAGTACCTATTTCATAGAGTTGCTGCAAAGATTGAATCATCTATATAAAGAGCCAGAGTGCCTTGTGGGAAGTGTTCAGTAAATGGTAGCTATTGGATTACTCTTTCTTCCTTCCCTACTTATCTAGAAACTTCATTAGAGAATTGATTACTTCTGACTATTTATTCAGAATGCCTCACATGAGATTTACTTGTGGTTCACAGACATTTCCAGGAGGGTGTTGCTCTACCACTTCATTCAAAGCTAGATCCACAATTATTTTTTCGTGTTTTCTTCTGCCTGTCTTCTAATTTCTCCATGAAGGAAAAGACACAATTCTGACAGATTCTTAGTTTCAAATTTTCAGATTAAACTTTTCTGACCCCACAGTGGAGAAGAGTGTAGGTTCACTACTAGGAATAAATTTCTATAATTAGAACTGTCCAACAGTAGAATATGCTTAGGAGGAATAAAGTTACCCATGGCTGCAGGTGTGCAAACGGAGGCTTTTGACCAGCAGAGCTTTGACTTACCACTGCTTCATCTCTCCATCCAGTCCCTGGGGTCTGCAGGCCACTGTAATCTACATTGCAGTAAGGATCTCAACAAACAGATATTTTTGTGACTTTGAAATTTTTTATTCGGGATTTTATGCTAACATTGTTAAATGAATTGATAAGATAGCAAATGAGGTTGAATTTAGCCAACTGAGGAAGTTTGACAACCTTCCCTGGTATCACTTAATCCAAGAGCAGGGTTTAGTACTAGACTGCAGTTGAAGATGTGGCTCTTGAGTCTTCTGGAGAGCTGGAGACACACAGAGCTCTGCAGTGAAGCCACGATGGCCTTGGGCCCATGTTGAGTGTAACGCACTCATTCATACTAACACATCCCACATGTTAAAGTAGAAGAAAATACTGAAGTCTTGTCATTTATGAGACTTTAATTGGCAGAATTTGACAGATGTTGCATGCTGCTTACAGGATTCAAAAAATATATTACATGGGCACTGCTGTGTCCTTCTGTGAGATATTTTATTCTCAGCTATCACCCTTCTTGCCCCCTTAGCCATACCCATTATAGTGGCCAGAAGGCCTGCCTGCTCTACAGTGATGTGTCTGGAATAGTGCCCATTAGTGTTCGGTAGTTACCCCGGCCTGCATGTTAGCCTTCAGTTTAATGGCCTTTTTTATGTTCATTCATTTTATTTTATTTCCCATCGTGGTTTTGTTTATTTCTTTTTTATTTTTGTTTTTTCTGTTCTCTTTTTTAAAACCGTCGTGGTTTGCCCTTCATATTCCCCAATGTTTGCACATGACAAGATGTTGCCATCCCAACATTACCTCCCACTTCACTGACCAGTGCCACTACTGACCATCTAGCACCAGCCACAACGGGACCATTGCCTTCAGCTCCTCGGGATGTGGTGGCTTCCCTGGTCTCTACTCGCTTCATCAAGTTGACGTGGCGGACACCTGCATCAGACCCTCACGGAGACAACCTTACCTACTCTGTGCTCTACACCAAGGAAGGAATTGCCAGGTAAGTGCCTGTGTGTCTGGAGCCAGTTGGCCGCATCTTGGTCCACCCTAGCCCATTGAGGCTGACCCTGGCTTTCTGTTGTGCAAGATCTGTACCAATTCTCAGTCCAGAAAATGTGATCACTGAGAAGTATCTTTCTAAAATGCATCACTGAGATGCGCTTTAGAAATTTTTTAATAAACCCCCAAATAGACTAATATGCTGGTATTCTTTCCTGACTTTCTGCAATGACTTAGGGATGTGCTTAGAGCTATTTAGATGGAAATATTCAGATGTAACGAGGACTACCTTTTCCCATAAGATTCAGTCAACAGAGATTCTAGAGATTAAGGTAGACTAAGTTTATTGAAATAATCTAAAATGAATATTGGCCTGTACCCTGATGTGGTATGTGCTGCTGAGCTAGCGGATTTCTCATTGACAATGCAATGAGTGACAAATTTTCCTAAAACAGCATTTGTATTAAATTTCTCTCCATCTCCACCCCTAACTCAGCAGTGCTTACAGGTTACTTTATTCCACAGGCTGGCTTTTATTTTGTCCACCCAACCTGATTTTCTTTTTTCTCAAGTTAACATGCTTTATGATGAAACTTATGCCTTATAGAGTAACTTATCACTGTAGCCTTCCCCCCAAGTTTATTCTCATTAGTTATTTCCTGCTTTCCCATTTCTCAGCTAACGCGAGATTCAATCGTCCCTGGCTCAGGTTGAGCCCTAGGAAGTTCTCATAGAACTTTTTAGCAGGTATCATAGCATTTTCCTTCTATGTGCGTTTGGACCATTAATACTGGCATTTTATTGATAACATGTGATCTTAAGACAACTTCCTTAAGTTGTTGTTCTTCAGTCACATTATGTGTGTTTTTGTTGTTTTCCCAACCAGATTATAAACTCTTTGGGAGAAGCCAGGCCACATGCCAACTTAGGTTTACACATTGTGACTGGATTCCTTCACTGTGCTCTTACCTCACACCAAAATAAGAAAGCTAAATTACTCATTTTGGTTAGAGTCCTAACAAATCAAATAAAGCTTATGTTTCTACCAAGGTGCTTACAGTTGGTCTGTATTGTAGTTAATACCAGACCAGCAAGTTCAGCAAGTGCGTGGCCCCTTACTGTGCTTGTGAGGTCTGAATGCCGTCATTTCAGGCCAGTAGACAGAGCTACTCATTGGGTGATGTTTACCTGAGTTCTGTGCTAGGTGCACTGCATTTTACAAGGATAAGGAAATAAATCTATACATAAAAAGGTAAGGTGTCACTGCTAAACTGCAAGTTTCAGTATCACCGTTACAGTATCTTGAATAGACCTTGAAATCTCACCGTAAATCTCGTAGGCATTCACAGAAGGAAGAAAGCATGTAGTAATTCCTCTGCATTATAGGCTTTTCCCACATTAAGGCCTTTGCCCTTGTGCCTTCTACTAGAAATGCATTTCCCTCGCAGTAATTATATCTGGCTTCTTGTCTGTCATCCTTAAATGACATCTTCTTTCTCAGGCCTTCCCTGAATACCCACCTAAACTTAGCCCTCCCAGTCACTGCCATACAGTGGAATATTAGAGCCAGCTTGTTCCCAAGCCAATTGTTAAATGTTTAGGAAATGTTGCAAACCTGATGACATGACTTGGCAGCTTACAATTGGGCATGGTGGGAGTATTTACAGTGACAAACGCTACAAACCAAGGCTGATGGTTAAATATTTACCAGAACATCACTGTTATCATATCACCCATTTTTTTGTTTATTTGGGGGTAGGTTTTTTTTTTCCTTCTGTTTTATTTTGTTGTTTTCAAAGCCCTTATTCTCTGAAGTTTTGTCTTTTATTTGCATATTTATTCTGTCTTGTTCAATGGAGTATCTCCAGCCCCTGGAACACAGCCTAGCATATAGTAGCACAAAATGAATATTTATTAAGTGAATATGTAATTTCAGTGAGTGGAGAAATAATAGATTGAATATTCAAGAAGTCATGTTGAGATAATTGTCCATTTTGGTGGACAGTTAAATTGTAGATTGATTAAGATACAAGTATTTTTAAAACCTGTAATTGTACTAAAAGTAAATACAGAAACAACTTTTATCATTTGGGTAGTGGGAAAGTGCTTTTAAAAGAAGATAGAAAATCCAGAAGCTGTTAACGGGAAAGATTGACGTAGTTACAAATTACTAGTATAAGATACCCCAAGAGGCAAATGATTCAAGCAGATGATTCACAGAACTTAATGGAAAGCCTATCAGAGTTAAAAAGGTTTTCACCATCTCTAGCAATCTGGAAAATGCACAATACTGAGTTATCATTTTTTATCCATAGGCTAGCTAGAAATTTAAGTTAGTAATCTCTAATGTTTGGTCAGTTGAAGTATGGAAAGAAATCCACTCTAGACTATTGGCAGCAGTATAAACTAGAATAATCTTTAGGGAAAGTGAGTTGGCTACTTTCTAAAAACTTTTTAATCTACATAGTCTTCAAGTGAGACAATTGCATGTCTAGGAATTTGCCCTATAAATATACAGATACATGTGTGTGTATACATATATATGCATTGGGCACTCATACAGAAATGTCTGTCATACTATTGCTTACATGAATAAAAAATTTAAAAATAAACAATATAATGTCCATTGATAGAGGAATGGGCACTAAATATATAGTCATGCACCACATAACATTTCAGACAACAGAACACATGTGTGATGTGTTCCCATAAGATTATACCACTGTATTTGTACTTTACCTTTTCTTTGTTTAGATACATAGATACTTACCATTGTTTTCCATTTGCCCACAGTATTCAGCACAGTAACATGCTATACAAATTTACAGGAAAGTAGGTGATATCATATAGCCTACTGGTAGTGGGCAGTACCATCAGGGTCTGTGTAAGTACACGCTATGTTCACACAGTAACAAAATCACCTAACAGCACATTTCTCAGAACACATCCCTGTTAAGCAGTGTATGAATGTATGTGTATCCATCCTCATATAAAGTATGAAGTATGTATGTGTAAAGTATGACGTAAGTATACATAAGTGCCTAGGGCAATGATTCTCAGCCAGAGATACTTTTGCCCCCTATACCTCGAGGGACATTTAGCAGTGTCTGGTGAGATTTTTGGTTGTCATAACTGGTGTAAGAAGCATACTTACTGGCATCTAGTGGGTGGAGGCCAGAGAGGCTGATAAACATCCTACCATGAACAGGACAGACAGCCCCCCTCAACAAAAGTTATCTTGCCCAATTTTTCAATAATGCCAATGTTGAAAAACCCTGTCATGGAGAAATCTGGTGAGGCGCTCATCAGCACTTGCCACGGCGAGGTCTTGGGTAGGAGAGACACTCATCAGCAGGTGCCACAGTAGGGTCTCGGGTAGGGTAGGTTTTGAAGAAGGAGAGGAACTGGGACTTTCTTTTAAAACTATATATATTTTTAAATTTTCATGTTTTTAATGAGATTCCATTGCTTACATTGAAAATACAGTAGAATCTACACCGAGCACTTCTTACATTGACCTGATTTTCATAGACCAGATGTACACCACATAATGTATCAGTATAGTAGGTTTACTTCCTTGTGTTGGCCACCTCTGTGTCTTGACCAGTTTGTTACAGTGCTTTGGGTGGTCAGCTTACAGAGGTTCTACTGTATTGTGTTAATGGATCCTGGTTTGGAGTAAGCAGGGATGATTAGTAAATTAAGTTGTTGTTGAGAAGATCATAGAAGTTAAATTGGCAGAGGCAGTTGGACATGACTAGTAAGTGTAAAGGAAGAGGAAATGCAGGTAAGGGTCCAGTGGTATCTGTGTGTCTCATGTAGGAAGGATGAGAAGGTGAGAAAACTAGCCTACCTGGCCTAGAGTTTTGTGTAAAAATTAATGAGTGATTGGAACCAGATGTTGGAATGCCAGTAAGAATTTGAACATAATCAGACGAGAAGGGGCTTATTTATTTATTTTGAGACAGAGTCTCACTATAGAGCACTGTGGTTTCACAGCTCACAGCAACCTTAGACTCTGGGCTTAAGCAATTCTCTTGCCTCAGCCGCCCCCCCCCCCAGTAGCTGGGACTACATGTGCCTGCCATAATGCCCAGCTAAGAAGGGGCCATTTTAAATGTTTGAAAGCATGTACACTGTGATTTTATCCAACAGTTTGTGTCAGAATTACTTTGAGAGCACTACATAAGATTAGTGAAGAGAAAAAAATGGAGTTAGGGAGACAAAGTAAGTAGTAGTAGTTATATTAGTCTAGATGTGTGATAGTTGATGGCCTGGATAAAGATGAAAGCCATGACTTGGAGTGGATAGGACAAATTTGGGAAATATTTAAAAGAATGACCTTTAGAGACCATAAAACTTTTTGTTATCACTACTTTATGATTTCTGAACAGAGACAGTGAAGTAGTTAAGACCTCTATAAGTCAAAAGACTATTTTCTGACTACTAGTGTTATAAAAAATTTGCTTAACCTTTTTAAGTTTAAATTTTCTCATCTAAAAAAGTGAGGGGAATAAATTTACTTCATAAACTTATAGTAAGAATTTACCATGAGGATGTATGCTATATGCATTTGGACATCCCCCCACTTCAACCACCAGGTGGCACTGCATGCCTTGGTCATGAGCTATAATTCTATTGGATGCCTGAGTTGCCTGAGATTCCAAAGGTCCTTCCTTTGGCTCCTCAGCTATAGAATTTTCTTTCTTTCTTTTTTCTTTTTCTTTTTCTTTTCTTTTCTTTTCTTTTCTTTTTTTTTTTTTGTAGCCTTTAATTTAAACAGTAGCACTTTATTAATAACCATTAAATGGAAGAGTAAAGAGGAATTTAGTCCTAATATTGATAATGTTTTAGAGGGGGATGGAGCCTTAGAGATGTGTTGGTCTAGTTACGAGGCTAGCAAACTGTGGACCCTAGTTTGAGCTGTTATTTTTATGGCTCTGGAGCTAAGAATAGTTTTTACATTTTTAAATAGTTATACTTTGAAAGGGGTTATCTAAGTAACTACTGAATATCCCCCACTTTGCCTCTTAGACTATAACTACTACCAGGCACTTTAAGAAAAAACTCCACAAAAGAGCACAGATTAGGCCTCTTTTGATCATCTTGTACATAAAAGTTTGAACAGTTTCTCTTCTAGAAAGATACTGAGTATTTACTTTATCTCCCTAGCTCCATTTTTTTGGCTTCAGTTTAAAATAGCACCATCCTCACTCAGTATCTTTCTAGAAGAGAATTTGTTTAAAATTTTAAGTATAAGATGATCAAAAGAGACCTAATCTGTGCTCTTCAGTGGAGCTTTTAGTTTAGTGTGAGATACAATATAGTTGACTCTTGAACAACAGGAGGTTGGGGGCACTGATCCCTGTTCATAGGTGAAAATCCATGTATAACTTTTGACTCTCCAAAAATGTAACCTCTAATGGCCTGCTGTTGACAGGAAGCCTTACCAGCAATATAAACAGTCGATTATCACATATTTTTTATGTTATGTGTATTCTGTATTCTTACAATAAAGTAAGCTAGAGAAAAGAAAATGTTATTAAGAAGATTGTAAGGAAAAGAAAATAAATTTACGTTAATTAAGGGAGAGTAAATTCTAATAAAAATCTTCATCATCATGGAGTAGGCTGAAGAGGAGGAGGGTTGGTCTTGCTCTCTCAGATGGCAGAGAGGAAGGAGTTGGAAGGGGAGGCAGCAGAGGCAGACGCACTTAGTGTAACTGTTGTTTTTTTTTAAATCCACTTAGAAGTGGGCCGGTGCAGTTCAAACCTATGTTTAAGGGTTCACTGTACTTCCTTTTAGGCAGTAATCATTTGTGATCACACTAAGTGTCAGAAACCTCGAAGTATAAGAAATCAGTTGATATCTTCCTTCTAAATCCTGTGAGTGAGAGATTTGGCTGAAGGGAAAATAGTACTTAGAGATATCTTAAGTTTTTCTAAGCAATAATTTTTGTTCCCATAATACTCTTTTTCCAGGGAACCTGATAATAGAGAAATAAAATCTATAAATATTGTGTGGGTACTATTGGTTTATTTTTTTAAAATTAAAATAAAGCAGCTAGGGAGCTATAGAAAACTACTAGAAAATACTTTTTTGGAAAGGATAGTCCCACATAATCAAACCAAATTGGCATATGGTTATGTAGAATCTAAACAAATTTTAATTGGCAATTTTAGGGCAAATTATCAACATTTTAAAGCAGGGGTCCTAAAACTTTTTAAACAGGGGGCCAGTTCACTGTACCTCAGACCGTTGGAGGGCCGGATTGCGGGCCCCGGGATGAGTTGGCTGCTAAGCAGGACAGGCAGCGGCGGCAAAAACACCCGGTGGGCCAGATAAATGTCCTTGGTGGGCCGCATGGGGCCCGTGGGCCGTAGTTTGAGGACACCTGTTTTAAAGTAATAATTTGAATTCAAGAGATTAAAATAATTTCTTTGACAGAATAGTTTTGGATTCTGCAATTACTTTCTCAAGATAGATACAGCTCTTTCCTCACACGAGACAATTCCTAACGACCAACTGTTTGTCTAAAACAAGTTCCTTCATGATATTTATTGGAAACTGATGATCTGATTTTGGTTAAAGGAAGCATGATAGACTGAGCATAATTGTAGACCTGAGTTGGACACTTAACCCTCCAGATAGGACCTGGGAGCTACCCTTTGGAAAGAACCTAGATAATTGCTTTTATATTTTCATCTCATAGTACATTGGACTTATGTATTATTGTGAGTAGATTTGTCAGACATTCAGACTACTTTGAAAATAATTCAAAAGGAGTTTTTTTATATGCCATAAACCATGAGTTTATCTCAAGCAATAAGGTTATCTCAAACAATAGCTTAAACTTTAAGTTTATCTTAAATGGAGAGTTTGAGGCCCAACATTCCATCTCTCTAATGGTGGACAGTCAACCATTGAGCTCTGAATTTTCCTCAATGTGTAATTTGCCCCTTAGTAAAAACTTGTGTTCAAGAATTGGTCATCCTAGAAAACCTGACATGCCTTTAAACCTTACATGAATAGAGGCTCCATAAACCAACTGAGGCATCCAGGAGGGGTTGTTCTTCTTTTCTTCTTTATTTTAAAAAGATTTATTTCCCATTCTGTTTGAAATCTCATTTACCTACACATGAGACAGTTCAGTTCCCCTTCAACAAAGCACAGAAAGGCCAGTTAGATTAATTTGGGGAGGAAGAGGCAATGGTGAAGACACTAGTAAAAATGATAAATCAACAATCTAATGAATCATCTAAAAGATTTTGAAAAGAGCAAACCAATCTGGAACCCAACAGAAGAAGTGAAATGACCAAGGTCAGACCAGAACTAACAGAAATCAGTAACAAAAGAACTATACAGAACATCAATGAAACAAAAAGCCTGGCTCCCTGGAAAAATAAACAAAACTGACAGACCTTCTGCCAGATCAACCAAAAACAGAAAAGTAAGGACTCCAATAGCTCAATCAGACTTGAAAAAGGAGATATTACAGCTGTTCCCACAGAAATACAAAACATCCCTGCATACTATAAAAACACTTGTGAAGTAGAACTCCCAAACAGACTAAAACAAAACTGAAGAAAGTCCTAGACCAGATAGCTTCACAGATGAACTCTACCAACCCTAAAAAGAGGAAATGTCACCCACACTACGAAATTGCTTTATAACATTGAGAGTGAAGAAGTCCTCCCCAATTCTTTCCACAAAGCCAGCATCACCCTGATACCAAAGCCAGGAAAGGATATAACACAAAGAAAACTGCAGGCCAATAGTCCCCATGAATACAGATGCAAAAACTCTCAACAAAATTCTAACAAAGTGAATTTAACAGCACACCAGAAAACCAATCCACCATGACAAGGTGAGCGACCCACCACATAAACAGAAGCAAGAACAAAGACTGTGTGATCATCTCAGTAGACACAGAGAAAGCAACCTGCAAAGCTCAGCACTGTTTTATGATAAGAACTCTAAACAAAACATCCATAGATGAAATATACCTCAAAGCACAAAAGCCATATATGACAAACCACAGCCAACATCATACAAGTGGACCAGTCCAGTTCAAACCTATGTTGTTCAAGGGTTCACTGTACTTCCTTTTAGGCAGTGATGGAGTGGGGGAAAATTAAAATCCTTCCTACCTAGACTCAGAACCAGATAATGTTGCCTACTCTTATCAACTCCACTCAACACAGTGCTAGAAGTCCCAGCCAGAGCAATCAGACAAAGGAGGGAAACCAGTGGCATCCAAATGGGGACAGAAGATGCCAAACCATCACTCTTTGCTTACAATATGATCTTATATCTAGAAAACCCCAAAGACTGCCATAAGACTCCTAGAATCGACAAATTCAGCAGAGTCTAAGGATACAAAATCAGTGCACACAAATCAATAGCACTCCTACACAGCAGCAACAGTCAAGCTAAGACAAACCAAAGACTCAAACCTTCATAACAGCAACAAAGAAAATAGAACATCCAGGAATATATCCAACCAAAGAGCAAAAGACATCCATAGGGAGAACCATGAGTCACAAAAGAGGAAATGGAGAAGATACCTACAAATGGAAAACCAGCAGAGTCAACACCACCCAAAAGGATCCACAGCCCCAGTGCAGTCCCCACAAAACCACTAACGTCATTCTCACAGATCTAGAACAAATAATTCCATGTTTCACACAGAACCAGAAAAGAGCTCAAAAAATCACAGCAACCCTACACTAAAAGGACCCATGGCTTTGATTGAGGCTGCTCCCTGCCTCCTCCAGCAGCTGCAGGGTGTCATTCACTGGAGTGCCATTTCACTCACCCAGGGACCAAAATTGTTACCAGAAGTTCAGCACTTGATCCCGAAGCCACATCAGAAAAAGAGGGGCAAGCAGTTTGAGGAGAAGGAAAGAGAAGTTTGTTACTTTGCTGGCAAAGGAGGAAAATGGTAGACACTGGTCTCAAATCCAAATTCCTAAGAAATATTAATTTTGAGAAATAAATTATACAAATCAGTGTTATGATTAGCTTATTTTATGGATTTGGTACATTGAGGATTCATTTAAAATTTTAATGTTTTTGTTCCCAATTTAAAAAATAACAACCTCTAGCATTCTTTTTTTTATGGAAAGTCTCTTATCCACTAAACATCATTTGTTGATAATTTCTTTAAGAATCACTCTTTAAAACTCAGTGATTTCTAAGGCCTACAATGTTGCTAAGCAGCTTCCCCATTTGAATGGCACTGAGGAGCCCTGTGTCTGCTCTGGAAGGAAGTTGTGATTGTGATCGGCAATGTCAGTGATGTTTAAGCAGGAATATCAGCGGCTTGTCAGATATGTATGACCTTGTTCTTTTGCCAGTTACCATATTCTGTTCACTGTTTTGCTTCAAAAACTTTTCTTTTTTGAGTGTTAATTTAGCTTCAACTGTCAAATTTTGTTGTGGAGTGGAAAATGAAATTGTACATTCTAGAAACATTCCTAATTGATGCCACTTTCTCTAAATCCTCCTTTGTCTAAAGGGAACGTGTTGAGAATACCAGTCGCCCAGGAGAAATGCAAGTAACCATTCAAAACCTGATGCCAGCAACTGTGTACATCTTTAGAGTTATGGCTCAAAATAAGCATGGCTCCGGAGAGAGTTCAGCTCCGCTACGAGTAGAAACACAGCCTGAGGGTAAGTCTTCCATGCATCTATCAGCCTTACCTAGAGATAGAGCTATCTGTGGGTCTGTCTTATGATAAAGGAGCAGAAGATAGAAGTTCTTCACTTTCAAGGACCTTATGAATTAGGGGAGACAAAAATTAATTTACATCAAATAATAGCAAATTGGCCAGGCATGGTGGCTCATACCTGTAATCGTAGCACTCTGGGAGGCCCTGGCAAGTGAATCACCTGAGCTCAGGAGTTCAAGACCAACCTGAGCAAGAGTGAAAACCTGTCTCTAAAAACTAGCCAGGCATGGTGGAGGGCACCAGTAGTCCCAGCTACTTGGGAGGCTGAGGCAAGAGGATCGCTTGAGCCCAAGAGTTTGAGGTTGCTGTGAGCTATGATGCCATGGCACTCTACTCCGGGTGACAGAGTGAGACTTTGTCTTGGAAAAAAAAAAAATAGCAACTTGAATAAGATAATTTTGATGCTTTTCTACATACTTATATTTTACTGACTATTTAAGGTTTAGCCTAGACACCATCTAGAATCTTCTGATTCTGTCTAATGTATCTTTACAATTCTGAGACACATTATCACTTCCTTTAGTTATGATTATGAATGTATCTTGCTTATTTTACGACAGAGCCTCTATCATCCTGTATTTCCCACACTGTCTCGTGTACTGCCTTGCATATGAAGTAGGTGTTTAATAATTGTCGTCATCTTGATTACCCTCCGTTTATATAATACACTCTTTAGAATCTCTTTGAGGCTTTTATTTTGGACCTGCAGTCTTTTGTGCTGAAAGTATAAATAGTATTACTTTTAATTACATTCCTAAAATCTTCTATAAGGTGAATGTCATACTGGTTTATCACTGTGTTGTATATCTTAAGTTTTGATTATAAACTATAGGCCTAAAATTATGAACAATGAAATATCAATTAATACTTTTCCCACTTGAGGCTTTTTTTCCCTAAACTTTTGTTTTCTTCTAACAGAAGCTGCTGTTTTTCCTCAGAACTTTCTTCAGTCTATTTTACTAGTAATGGCACTAGTTTTTCTATGTTAAGACATTTCTAGTAACAAAGGTATTTTGAGTAAGGAGCATGTGTGGAAGCTACTGACCAAGAAACTAAATAGATTAAATGAGTTTATCAGTGAAACGTTAGAATTAATTTAAGAACTCTACTCTGATGGGCAGAATAAAAAGTCAGAAGCTATGGAACTTCACTCTGTAATACTGTAGAAAATCATTCACTCGTCAAACATTTACTGAGTATCTCCTGTACCAGGTAACATGTGAAGTATTGGAGACCCTGTGAACTAGATAGGATGTCTCCCACTGAGGAACAAGCAGGCAAGGCCAGGAGTGGTGGCTCACATCTGTGATCCCAGCACTTGGAGAGGCTGAGATGGAAGGACTGCTTGAGGTCAGGAGCCTGAGACCAGCTTGGGCAATACAGCAAGACTCTCTATAAAAATGTTTTAAAAACTTAGCCGGGCATGATGGCTATATTCCACCAAGCCTACTTGGGAGACTGAGGCAGGAGAATCGTTTGAGCCCAGGAGCTTGAGATTGCAGTGAGCGATGAGCCTGGGCAATAGTGTAAGACCTTGTCTCTTTAAAAAAAAAAAAAAAATCAGGTATGATAGAGATTGAAAATCAGGAATCAAACCTAGGCATGAACAAGAGGGCTATCAGAAAGTCAGGGGTTTGATTTAAGGAAAGAATGTGTTCTCATTACAAGGAAAAGATGCTGAATTTCACAGTTATCTGTGTTCAGACAATAGGAGAAATATTTCATTAGGCTTCAAGCTCAGTTACACTCCATTAGCTTTTATGTACAGGCATCATTCATGAGAGATACGGGAATGCAGAAGAAGGAAAAATTACTGTGAGAGATAAGCAGATCAAGTGAGGTTCCAAGGAAAAGATGAGACCTGAGGCTGCCCTTGAAGCATTTGACTCAGAGCAAGCGTTCTTAGGGAAGGAATTTGCATGACCCAGATCCCAGAAATAGAATCAGACAGTGCACATGCAAGATGAGTCATGGTGAAAAGGAGGAGAAAGACCACTGGGTTTGGTCCAGAGCAAGGGTTCTGTCCTGAGAACCACTGAACTGGGAGGGCGTTGTCAAGTTTAGAGATGAAAGAAAAGATGTAAGGAAGAGTGGGTTTATTGAGTGTGTACCCTGTGCCAGTTGCTGTGTGAGATAGTTGACATGCGAAGATGAGCACGATTTTTCTGTCTCCCAGGGGTTTACTGTCTGGTGCCAGAGGCAGGCAAGAGCATGAGGTGTTGATATTATGGAAGGTAGGCAGCCTAGTTATTTCTTCAAGGAGTTTGGCTAAAGAAAGTAGTTAAATAAGAATATGAGGAGAAGGGGCATCAGATTCTGGCGAGGGTATTTTAGGGATGGAGAGAGACTGTAACATGTTTTGGCAAAGGAACAGCAGTTAGTGAGAAAGATTTGCATTTCATCTGGAGATATTCAGCTTGTGTGTGGGAGGCATAAATGTTGGAGTCAGCCCTTGGAAAATATTTTACATATTTAGCTTCACAAACCAACTTAAAAATTTTTCCCCACTTATTATGCCACTGTACAACTGAAATGAAGGAATTCATTAGCGCCTTTTTAAGGATCCTATTTGCCTGTGCTCAGCCAATGAATATATTGAAAGTGATTTCAGGAGAATTTAGGGACTGTTGTTTTTCTTCCCCTTTCATAAGTTAGAGGAAACTTTTCCATAGCAGCAGAAGTGCAAGAAATCCCACCTGTCAGGCTGCATAAAATGCCTCTTAACATTAAGTGAATAACAGGATTTCACAGCTAAAGCAAACAGCTATCGGAGTAACCATATTCACTACTTTGGAAGCAAATCTGATCTTCCATACTATGGTGCTATTATTCAAGAAAGCCAGTTTGTTTTACATTTTGTTAGTTTTTTTCCTTTCCCAGCTCTTAAATCTAATGGATGTCTGTCACAGAAACACTACTGCCAGAGAAACTGTTTTCAAATATAGAATGTCTACCAAAGTGCAGGCATAGGCAGCTATCCAGAATCTGTATAACAGACAAAAAGAGTATAGTCAAAGAGTAGGTGTGTGAGTTACTGTAGAAGTTAAAACCAGCTAGGCGGTTGTCCAGGCAGCCCGTGATTCAGTCTTCCAAATCACGTACATCCTGCCATACGGGTATTGGAATAATCTCTTTACTGGTCCTGAGCCTCTGTGTTAGACTCAGAAAGTGTCAACTCTTTCAAAAAATAATTATTATTCCTCTGTCTAGAATCATTCCTTTACTGTTTTCCTTCTGTGCCATGTTCACATGTCCTTTTTAAACACAGATCTGATCACATCACACTCCTGCTTGTAATCTTTTAGTAACTGACTAACATCTCCTAGATAAAATGCAGAGACTCTTCACTACCTGCCTTGCTACGCGTCAGCATTGTCCCCCATATTTACCCTGCATTTCAGCCAGGCTAAGCCACCCCACACTGTCTTTTCATGTATTCTCCTGAGTGAGTCCCTTGACTGGAATAATTTTCCCCTTGGTGTCTGGGAAGAGTATTCATTCTTGATTCAAGAAGTCTTCAGTGCCTTCCCTTCCCTGCCCAGTCCTTCCCAAAGCAGAATTATGTACTTTTGTTTTTTCATTACAGCCATTACCTAAATCTATTCATGCTTTTTATGACTTTTTAAAACTGTTTATATGTCTGACTGCCCTGCTAGACAGGGAGTTTTTGTGGGCAGGAACTCTGCCCATCACTGTATGCTAGTGCCTGCCACAGTATCTATAAATACTCTTCACTGTGTAAAGAGATGGGTCTCTTTTTGTGGTGGTTGCTTTTATGTGCTGCGTAGCCCCACTGCAAAACTAGGCTTTTATAAATCACAAGAAGAGTTATGAGTATGCGTTTTTCCCTTCTATTGAATAAATTAGTGCTACTTCAGAAATAATTTCTGGTTTTGATTTGAATCATAAAAAGGAAAATGTATAGATACATTATCCTAAAACTACTTAATCACATCAATTGTCTTCTTACCTTTTATTATTTTTAAAACATGGCCAATATGACAGTGTTGCCAAGAATGGTTACTGGGGCGTGCAATAAATTTTGTTTATTTCTTGCTCTCTTGAAATTTCTTTTCTAGTTCAGCTCCCTGGCCCAGCACCTAATATTCGAGCATATGCAACTTCACCTACTTCAATCACTGTCACATGGGAAACACCATTGTCTGGCAATGGAGAAATTCAAAATTACAAATTGTACTACATGGAAAAAGGGACTGATAAAGAACAGGTATGAAATAAAACAGTTTTTCAAACCATTGATTGGAATAATAGAGTTGAAATATATCTCCAAAACCCAATAGATAGTTGACTGGAAATCTGAAGGGGAAAGAAGATTGTATACTGGAAATAAAAAGTTAGATTCTATTTCCTTATATCAAGATTGATTCTGTAGTTTTTATCAGCAAGGATCAGTAAACATTAAGCAATATGTCTAAGCAAATTGTCACTGTTTATGACTAATTTGCTTAGACTATTAAATAACATCCCATAAGAAGGGCTAAAAATCTGTATTGTGTAGAATATAGAATTTATATAGTTTTTTATTTTGCAGCATTTTTTTTCGCTTGAGTTGCATATATACACAGTATTTTATTTTGTTCAAGGATGTTGATGTTTCAAGTCACTCCTATACCATTAATGGGTTGAAAAAGTATACGGAGTATAGTTTCCGAGTGGTGGCCTACAATAAACACGGCCCTGGAGTCTCCACCCAAGATGTTGCTGTTCAGACACTGTCAGATGGTGAGTCTTCCTGCTTCCTTCTTTGGAACACTGTACCGTGCTTGGTGCTCTTACTGCTATAATTCATGTCAGGAGACTTTCTTTGATCAAGTCACTTCCCATTTCTGTTCTGAGCATGTTTCCTTACATGTAAAATGTACATAGTACCAACTTCATTGGGTTTCTGTAAGACTGAGTGGGAAAGCAGGGACTATAAAGTACCTCACTGAATAGGTTGTCAGTGTTTGTGTTTTCAGCAGAGACTTTTTACAAGGGAATACCATCGTTTGTTCCGAACAGCCATCATTCCAGGGCTGTTGGAAGACTAGCCTTGTTCTACTCAGCAGTCGTATTCCTGTGCCAAATTGATCTTTTTAATTCTCAGTATTTTGAGACAGTTTCAGTTCTTATGTGTGACTGAATTTCTAAACTATTTCATTTCTTATGTGTGACTGAATTTCTAAACTAAATTGTAGGCATGTACTCATGACCCAGAGCAGTGTTATGCAAACTGCACCCTGCCAAAAACATTAAGTAGGTCAAGACAAGTATTTTTTCAAAAAATACTTCTAGAATAGAAAAGCGTGTTGTACTTAGTGAGGATGTGTTTGTTTCATGAAACTCAGCTAAATACAGCATTTTATAAAAATGTCTGTTTTTTTTTAAAAGTGTGTGTGTATATGTGTATATACATCCCTCACACATAGTATGTATAAACATGCATACTTTAGAAGCTATAGTTCAACTTTCTGAAGCAAATTGTCAAGCAAACATCCCCAGTAAAGGAACAATGCAGCACATGGAGAAACACACATCTCCTCTGCTGCATCCCTGCCAAAAATATTTAACTTGGATCTGATCATGATGAAACAACCAGGCATAGCCAAACTGAGGGAAGTCCCCTAAAAACCTAAAAAACATCTTTTAACTGACCTGAGTTCTTAAAGTATATTAGTTTTATAAAAGAAAAATATAAAGCCTGGGGAATCATTCTAGATGAAAGAAGAGTAAAGATCCCTGAAATAAAACATGTATGATTTTTGACTGGATCTGAAGGTAAATACAGCTATAATAGACACTATTGGTATAATTACTTAATGGTAGATATATATACATATATAATAGTAGATAATATTTGTGTGTTAAATTAAATTTTCTGAATATGATCATTGTGTTGTAGTTTTGCTGGAGAATGTCCTTGTTCTTAGGAGATACATGGCAGTACACACTGAGGTATTTAGGAGCGAAGTATGATGACTGTGGTCATCTCTCAGATGCTTTAGAAACACTATGTAAGTAGACAAATCTGTATGTATTCGTATATAGTGACAGAAATAAAGCAGATGTTCCAGAATATTAACACCTGGTGAATCTAGGAAAAGAATATTGGTGTGTATTGTATTTTTCTTGCTGCTCTTTTTACAGACTCCACATTTTTCATGATAAAAGGTTGGGGAAAACAGACAAGTACAAATTATAAACTTTTATAGTTTGACTAGCCAACTACATAAGCCAGTTGGTTAAAATTTGTAGGAAAAACTGGAGGGCCGGGTGTGGTGGCTCATGCCTGTAATCCCAGCCCTTGGGAGGCCAAGTTGGGTGGATTGCCTAAGCTCATGAGTTCGAGACCAACCTGAGCAAGAGCAAGACCCCATCTCTAAAAAATAGTCAGGTGCTGTGGCAAGGCGCTCATAGTCCCAGCTACATGGGAGGCCGAGGCAAGAGAATTGCTTAAACCCAAGAGTTTGAGGTTGTGAGCTAAGATGCCATGGCACTCTACCTAGGGTGACCAAGTGAGATGCTGTCTCCAAAAATAAAAAGATTTGTAGGAAAAATTGAGGGAAAAAAATGTTTAATGTAGGCTTTTAAATCTACTTATGAACCAGATTTAACTGCTCTCAGTGGTTGACATGTCGGCTACCTGTGGGAATGGGTTGAATCTAAGCATGGTGGTTAAGGGCAGCACTTTGGAGTAAGGCAAATCTTGGCTTCTATGCCAGCTGAAAGACATGCCTGAGACAAGTGTCCCTGAACCTCGTCTATAGTTTTCTCATCTATACAATAGGGATAATAATAGAAACACCTTTGTGAGATTGTGAGGAGTAAGTACCTGGCATGTAGTGAGCACGCAGCAGTCTGCTGTGATGATGATGATGATGAAGGAGAAAGCAGCAGTGACAGCTCTGTTGGGCTCCTCTGCAGTTAAGTCATATGGAGACGACTGGAATCATTCATGTACTTTTTTCAGAATGCAGGTGCTTTGGTCCCCTTCAAACCCTCCCTGCCTGAACCCTGGGGTTGAGGCTTGAAGCACTTTGCTAGGCAGGAGTTGTGACCATGAGCAAGACACATTCTCTGCCTTCTAGAAACTTTAGCTTAGCGGGCACTTAGTCACCAAATGTTAGAGAAAGGAAGAGAAGTTTCTATGGGCAGATGAAGAGAGAAGGGCTAGAGTCAGCATTTTGTGAGTGGAGAGAAAACAAATCAGGTCTACTTAAGTTTTCTTTGCTGCTGTCATCACTACAAAGGGAGGTGTTGGAAGGTGGATGGGCCACAGTACACTTGTGAGGGGACCAGCTTATGTTCTGATTTGTGAGGAACTAAAGTTAGTAGCTATTTGTTTAACCAACACCCCAGCTTCTCATACCTAAATGAGTATTCCTTGATACATAGTTGCCTCAGAAAGCCTGATGGTTCACTTTACTGAAACAGTCATTGCATAGATATTTCTTTGTTCTACTGTTCTACTTGGGAACTGCCTTCAAAACCAGTTTAGGACCCCCACAAGAAAGCCAGGCTCACTGATTTGTGTACATCTCATTGTGATCCATAATGTCATTACCCAGTTTAGTCACTTGACATATTCATTAGACCTAGTTCCCAAAAATGTGTAGGTCTTTCCCCAGAATATTCAAAAGGGGGCTAGGTGTGGTGGCCCATGCCATCTCAACACCCTGGGAGCTGAGGCAGGTGGATAGTCTGAACTTAGGAATTTGAGACAAGCCTGAAACAGAGCAAGACCCTCTCTACTAAAAATAGAAAAACTAGCCAGGCATTGTGCCCAGTGAACTTAGTCACAGCTACTTGGGAAGCTGAGGAAGGATCACTTCAGCCTAGGAGTTTAAGGTTGTTGTGAGCTATGATGCCACAGTGCTCTACCCAGGGCAACAGAAAAAAGTGTCTCAAAAAAAATACATATTCAAAAGAATACATTTAAGATTCTGTGTCTGGGTCTACAAAAGTTTAGTATCTAGAGTAGTTCAGAGCCATTGTACATCCTTAAGATAAGTATCTGGTGTCCCAAGGGTACACCCTGACTTGGATCTGTGTACATACCCATATGCAAGTGTCTTACTTTAAAAACTTAATCGAGTATGGCCACACCTCATCCACATGGTCCTATCAGCATGAGGGCATTGGCAACTAGGTTTAGATCTGGTTAAATAATTGATGTTTGAGATGGGCATTTGTGTAAAGTTCAGCTGGGAACAATCACATGATGGGTAATCCATGGATGATTTAAAAAATTTTTTTTTCCTGTCTAGTTCCCAGTGCTGCTCCTCAGAATCTGTCCTTAGAAGTGAGAAATTCAAAGGTAAAACTTTATAATGCTGCCATTCATTTTTACTGGTGTACTGTTGATCCCCAGAGGGGCTTATGAAGTGGTAGATTCTGTGGGAAAACACCAAAACAAATGGATGTCAATGCTGTGATGATCTGTTTGCTTTTAAAAATAGTAAACCTGTAGAGTAGACCCTAAACCGAAAACGATCATCAACAAGCAAAGAAATAAGACATAGATAATACACTTACCAATAAAACCAGGTTTAGAAATCAACTCCTTTATTCTGTTTAACTTTTTTTCCTTTCTCTGATGCCAAAATGACTTTAGTCTTTCTATAAATAAATTGCTATTTTTATATAAACATGAGATTCTAGATCTTTACCATCTAGAACCTTAGTTGTGGCAGAAAGAAATAAGGTTTTTTTGGGTTTTTTTTATTAGAAATAAGTTGTTTATGATAATAACATGGTCCCTTGGTGCTGTGAGATAAGCCCCATGTAAGTTAAAGCCTGACCGCTGTCCGAGAGTCCTGTCCACTTAAACTGTCCCTCTCGGTCAAATTCATGATGTCTGTCAGGCCGTGTGTGCCTCAGAGGCCCGGAGCCCCTCCTGGACTACATAGACAACTGAGGTAATCATTTCAAGAAGTGTAGGAGTCCTTTTATTCTTCCAACCAGTAATTAATTAATGATCTCCTTTTTGAAGAGTTTTAGATATAAATTATTTAATTTCAACTCCTCTTTAATAGAGATGGGAAAGAGTCTTTATACCTAGCAATAGTTTACTTGCTAATCCATGTGCCTGACCTTATATTTTCCTTCTGAAAACTTTTCTGAGACTTTTGCCCAGTGTCTTCATTCAGGCAAAATACTTAGGAGATCCCAGGTCCAGTACACTGCTCAAATATATAATCTTCCCACTGAGGGTTTTAAAATTAAGAATACATTTGAGTGATTATTAAATAACTTTGTAAAACTCTATCTGGGAACCCTACCATCTTTATGTTCCTTGTCTTTACACAGTGAAATCAAGGTAGTGACACTTAAAAGTAAGGACCAAACTTGTGATACATTCAGTCTTTTCACCATTATCTTATCTTCTCCAGAGCATTATGATTCACTGGCAGCCACCTCCTCCAGCCACACAAAATGGTCAGATAACCGGCTACAGGATACGCTACAGAAAGGCCTCCCGAAAGAGTGATGTCTTTGAAACCTTGGTAACTGGGGCACAGCTGTCTCACCTGGTTGAAGGTAAACGACTTGGCAGATAGGCAAAAGCTAACAGGCAATATCTTTCTCAGACATTGAATTATGCTCATCCACTGACAAGCTGGGGGCTTACCAAACAAATTAAAAATGGTTCAGAAACACCTAGTGGTTCTGTTTACTTCTGATGTGATACATGTTAATGGAAAACATTCTTAAGGTCCTATCACCTCTAAGTGGTGAGATTTTGTGTTTGATTTTTATTTCTTTTTTTGTGTTTTCTATATTCTCCACATTTTCTTTTTTAAGTGTATGTATTGCTTTTTTGTTAACTGAAAAAAGGTAAAACAAAGCTGTATAAGCAAAGAAATTACTCCATTCCATTTAGTTGGTAACAGAGGTCTAGAAAATGATTTCTATGATAGACACTGTTTGTCTGTCTGTGGCCTGAAACAGTGTTCATGAATAGACACAGCAATGTGATAATCACACTTGCTACTATGAATACTACAAAGTTTTAGAAAATTATGTCAGAAGTAGCTCCTTTTTTATGGTTTTCCCTTTGTGTGCAACAGAACAAGTAGCATACCTGGTTTAAAAAGGAAAAAGGCTTTTGTGCCCTTTCTCTCCTCCCCCTAAGTACTGCTCCACTCCATCATGCTCACTCCAAGCTTCAGGCTCCCTTCAGCCACCATCATGATTATCTACCAGGACCTCATCAGCCATGAGAAGATGTTGTCTCACATTTATAAGATCTAAAGGATAGTAGATGTGCTGTGCCTAGAGGTGGATGGGAAGCTGTTCAGTAGGACAGAGGGTAACATTGACGGACATGCTTACTGGTGAAAATGCTTCTGCTGAAGACCCCACAGGGTGAAGATACTGAGAGCACAGTAATCATGGGTGTTGATGTTGTCAGGAACCATCACTGGCAGGAAACCAGCTTCACAAAAGAAGCCAACAAGAAGTACATCAAAGATTATATGAAGTTAGTCAAAGGCAAACTGGAAGAACAGAGACCAGACAGACCTTTTATAATGGGCTGCAGAACAAATCAAACACATTGTGTTGATTTCAAAAGCTACTGGTTCTTTATTGGTAAAAACACAAATCCAGGTGGAATGGTTCCCTCCTGGGCTACTGTGGATGTGGTGAGACCCCCATATAGGATTTTCTTTAAGGATGGTAAAAATGGAAAAATGTTAACAGACTTGTCAGTTACTTTGTATCTGTCACCTCTCGTCATAGCTGAGTGCTACTTGTCACCCACACTTAAGATATACTATAACCTAAGACAAATGGGACTGATACTATCTTGAGCTCTTTGTTTATTTTGACTGTGATTTATTTGGAGTGGAGGCACTGTTTTTAAGGAAAAAGCATGTCACGTAGGTTGTCTAAAAATAACATTCTTCTTAGTTTAATACATGTTCAAACTAAATCTATGCTAGAGTGTTCCTGGCAAAGCTAGAGACTGGTTGTAGGCCACACTAGAAAGCATAAGACTGTCACCAGATAAATTCTACAATGGACCTACTTCTAGGCCTAGAATAAATCTAAATTACAGTAAAGGGAAAGACCACGGTCACAACAGTGCCACCACTTGAAGTGGAGCCTTAACACATTTCATCACCTGCAAGGGTAGCAGTAACTCTGGAAGAAATTACCAAGAGAATAAAAAGAGACTAATCCAACATGGTGCCCATAGCTCAGTGGTTAGACTGCTGGCCACATACACCGGGGCTGGCGGATTTGAACCCATCCAGGGCCTGCTAAACAGCAATGACAACTGCAAGAACAAAATAGCCAGGCATTGTGGTGGGGTCCTGTAATCCCAACTACTCGTGAGGCTGAGGCAAGAGAATCATTTAAGCCCAAGAATTTGAGGTTGATGTGAGCTATGATGCCATAGCACTCTACCAAAGGTGACCAAGTAAGATTCTGTCTCAAAACAAACAAACAAAAAAGACTAATCCAGTTGGGGGGGGGGGGAATACCTGTCTAATGTGGATTCATTGTGTAAATCACAGAAAACCACCCTCTTTATTCCTCAGGTGGGGGAAGTAGAGTTGACTAAGCAAGGGCAAAGCTCCTTTGCAGGAGAAGCATGGTAGGTGTGTGATGAGCTTTTCACCCTGTGAATGTTGAGACCATGCTTAAAAGGATCGAGACTGATGCCCCTAAGCTGTCCTTATTCTATGGAGTTTGCGCAGATGTTTAATATAGCTGTGGAATTGACTGCAGTCTGCCCACCCCTTTGTAGTTAAGCAGTGCCGGGACTCTGTCCTCCCCAGCTGTAGGTGCCTCAGCTCTAGCCCTGTCACCCCACCTCTGTCCTGGGACTGTGCATCTTGTGTATTGCCTCAACTTCCTTGGCTTAGCTTTGTCACTCAACAGAGCCCATCTGTTTTGCAAGCAGACAGATGAATTGGAGTCTAGTGTATTTAAACCAACAGCATAAATTATTTGTAGCTATAACACTGCACTAGCGGGGCATGTTTAATTGCAGAATAAAAACTGACTCAGATGACTTTTGCTAGGAAACCCAAAAAGCAGAGCTGGTAGAAGAGAACTTTAAGAATTGTCATTGTTATCTAAGCTCAAGAATTAATTTCATCACCCTTTGGAAACACTTAACTTTCCTGCATTTCTTTCTTCCTTGGTAGACATTAAAAAGATAAGAGAAGTTTGGCATCAGCCACTTTCCCATGCCCCTAGGGACCAGGTCCTTGAGGGAAGCAAACTCGGGTCAAAAGTGTAATGCTTTCCCTTCTTTAAAGAATAAGTTTCTAAAAAATTGAGAGAGCCACTAATGGTACATAACTGCCCTTGTAATCAGCAAGCTCCTCACTCCTCATCTCACAGGTGGGATTAAGTTCTTTCAAAATAGGAAAAGATGAATATGGGGCTGAAGGGCATCTTTCAGCCTTCCAGCTTCTTCACGGGAACCCCACTTCCCTCAGCCGCAGTCAGTAGACTTGTCTGCAGTAGGTGTTGCCAGGAAATATCACTAAGGGAATGTTGATCACAGATGTCCTCAACAGTCAGCTTCTGATTGTGCTCCAAATTCAGATAAATATTAGATTATTAAATGTGAAATGTCCGATTTTGAATCAAAAGTTTAGTTTATTATAACAAGTGGTACAGTTAATCGCAGTAAGTGCCCAAACTGTCGATGCAGTTTGCCTTCTTAGCAGTAGCTTGTGTGTACCAAGAGTGAAGAAGCTGGAGAGCGTGTGGCAGTAAAATCACAAAAGGTGTTTTCCATGGCTTGTGAATTGAATATTTTTTCTTTCACGAAGTGGTGTAAAGCCTGGAAGAAGTAGTTCTCTGCTGGTGCAAGGCCTGGTGAATATGCTGGATGACAGAGTTTCCAAGTCCAGCTTCTGTAGTGTGAGCAGCCTTGTTCCTGCAACAGCATTGTCTTACAAGAGGTTTGACCTGTCTCTCTTGACCAGTCTCAGCTGCTTAATCATAAGCATCCTCATCTTTTCACTGAATTGGTTGCAGTGAACATCCACTAAAATCGACTGACCAGGTTTCATAGAGCTGCAGTGGACGATACTAGTGCTGGACCACCAAACAGACACCAGTAGCTTTTTTTTTGATGAGTATTTGGTTTTGGACTGTGTTCTGACAGTTCATCTTTATCCAGCCATTGTGCTGAACCTTTGCGATTGTCAAAAAGAATCCATTTTTCATCACATGGTGCAGAAATGGTTCACCTTTGTGTTGTGACAGCAAAGAAAAGCAAGCCTTGAGATGGTGTCTCTTCCGACACTCCATTAATTCATGTGGACCCCATCTATCCAGCTTCTTACCCTGCTGATTTGTTTCAGATGGTCCAATATCATTCTAATAACGTCAAAACTTGCTGCTGATTCATATGCAAGTTGAGATGGATTCCCTTCCACTACAGCTTTCAGCTCATCATTATCCACCTTGGTCTTAGATCACCCGTGTGGATCATTTTGAAGTTTAAAATCACCAGAATGGAACTTCTCAAACCACTGATGTCCTGTGCGTTCATTACCCATGTCTTCCCAAACACGTAACTTATATTTCAAACTGTCTGCACTGCACTGGTTCCACAATGGAACTCATATTAAAAAATAGCATGAATTTTTAACTTGTCCATGGTTTCACAAAAATTGTTCTAAAAAATATTCAAAGGTAATTTCCAAGTGGCTACTCCAAAAATGTGTGTTTGACAGAAGGAGAATGTACCTTCATAATAAAAGAAATGTCAGAGATATCAACTGTCAAATTTAGTGTTTAAGGAAATCAAACATTTCTTACTTAATAACCTAATAACATTTCCCATCTGAAAGGCTTTTATTTTAAATATTTGATTATAGATAGTTATTATATACTTGGCACTGTTCTTGTCGCTAATCATATAAAAATAGAGTATGGTTTCCCATGAGAAGACTATTTTCTCAATGAAATATTTGATTTTAAGCAAAATATAATTTTTATACTAAAAATGCCTTTATGTTTATCAAGAAAATTCTTGCATTTTAAAATATTTAGATTATTTAATAGATTTGTTGAACTTTTATTAGCAAGTGCTGGTACACAGTATGCAATGGTAAATAAAAATAGAGATCCTTTCTCTCTTGAAGCATTAACTTGAAGCTTGTTTAAGTATTAAGGAACAGTATGGATTACCACGATTCTGTACTAACAGTAAATTATATGCCTGAGTTTGTTTTTTTTTTTTTGAGACAGAGCCTCAAGCTGTCCCCCTGGGTAGAGTGCCGTGGCATTACAGCTCACAGCAACCTCCAACTCCTGGGCTCAAGCGAGTCTCCTGCCTCAGCCTCCCAAGTAGCTGGGACCACAGGCGCCCACCACAACGCCCGGCTATTTTTTGGTTGCAGCCGTCATTGTTGTTTGGCGGGTCCAGGCTGGGGATTCGAACCCGTCGCCTTAGGTGTACGTGGCTGGCGCCTTAGCCGGTTGAGCTATAGGCGCCGAGCCATATGCCTGAGTTTTAACCAGAACTAATTGTTATTAGTAGCACTTAAATGTTGCCATATCTTTACAATGCATATTGTCTGCCTTAGTTTAGTCTGTGAACTCTTTAGGTTACTCAGAAGGAGAGGAACTCTCGGCCTCTTTACACACGCCTCTTTCTTGCTTACTCACCTGATCTCTCACTTGTGCTTTCTACCCTCAGAGGGCAGGGAATGGAATCTACTGGTTGGATTCTTTCAGGATCTTGATTGAGCCACGTTTGCTAGTAGTCCCAGTTACTGTCTGTTAAACACACATGCAGCCCACTCTAGCACTTTCTGGTTTATTGTGTGCAAAGATGAGGCAAGATGGTAAACTGACTTGGGCCCAGGCATTTTGATCATCTTCTGTCTCGCTACCTTGTGGGCAGAGTCAAGATGGGCCTGTGAAGAACAAAATCTCCCTTCTCTCCGCCACCACCATGTGACAGGATTGGGTAACTGAGCTAGGGTTTATCTTGCTTCCTGGCCAAGTTACATTCTCAGTATCATTTTGATTGGCATTTCTATCCTTTACTGCTCAACAAAGATCCCAGTATTTGGATGTGGGGAAATAGGATAATTTTCATAACCCTTACATGCCCTACGACAGTATCTCATATTTAAGTGCTCTAAAAATGTATGCATGCATATATGAGCACTGACCATGTTATTAATTACTGCCTTGTTTTGTAGGTTAGACTTTTGTATGTGGGTCTTTGTTACCTTTGATACATTGGTAAATCATGTAGTTTTTTAGCTGGTTGTAAATAAAAAGTTGCATAACAGAAAGGTTTGAGTTTTTTCCCTCTTTTATTTGCTATATATAGGTATGGACAATTAGTTGTTAAGGAATAGATTTCCACATCCTATTTGGTGCTTAAAATTTTTCTGCTCTGGTTACGAGGTAGCTCAGACAACAGAGGTAACCTGATAGGAGTTAAGTCTTTGCGTTCTTTTCTGGGTTTGGTGTCTTCTAGAACCAGTTGACTTTGTTCCTTTGCTATAACTCTTTCATTATCCTTGGCCTGTTTTTGGCCTTAGCTTTCTTTGTAACAAAATGAAGAGATTGCATTAAATGATCTCTGAGGTACCTTTGAGCTCTTAGACAAAAGTCTATAATCTCCTGGGAGCTTTAGTCATTTCTGTTTTCCTCTTGGATTATGTGAGCTTCAGCCTTTACTTTAGAGAGGAAAGCCGATCTGTGTTGTATTTATGTATGCTTGCTGTGCATTAATCTTAACTGGAACTTTATCAAGCTATCTGCTGAGCTGGTGGCTGAGACATTTGCCTTAATGAGAGATTCTTAATCTTGTGTTTTTTCAAAGCTTTTGTTTCAGCTTGTCTTTGTTTGTTACTTGTGTCTCAGGTCTCGATCGGGGGACTGAATATAATTTCCGAGTGACTGCTCTAACAATCAATGGCACAGGCCCTGCAACTGACTGGCTGTCTGCTGAAACTTTCGAAAGTGACTTAGATGGTAAGAACAACAATTGACAGTATAGGCACATGGTAGGTACTAACTGTAGTAAAATGAGTCAAATTGGAAAGCCATGAACTTTTGAACACGTAAGGTTTTATGTGGTTTTTTTTTTCTTTTGCAGTTTTTGGCCGGGGCAAAAGCCCTACTCCTTTCAGCCACAGGCACTGCCCTTTACGTGGTTTTATGTAATTCTAAAAAAAATACCAAAATAGCCTTAAATAAAAGACATGGCAGTGTAAATTTGAGAACTTTAATGATTACACTGCTGTCATTCCTGTAATGCAGCAGGGTCCTGGAATGGATTTTTTGCAGCGCCTTTCAGAGAACTGTACCTTTAAGCAGAACCAGGGCAAATAAAAATGAACAGGTGCGGTAAGTTGGAGTTTTTGCCAGGCCTATTAAGTTGATGGATGATCTACTGAGCTGCATAAATTGTACCTCTATTTCAGTCGCAGTTTCTCTTTTTCCTTAGTCTCATCTGTTTATTCAGCAGGTAACTCTATATGGGTGTGTGTCGTGGCACCGTTATCAGTGACAGGTGCTGGACTCAGGAGACAAGAGACCTGAGTTCTTATTCTAAGTCTCAGTTTACTAATTTTTAAATTAAGGTAGCAGTGTATGCCTTGAAACAATGTATATGAATGACACTATAAATTGCCTCCTTTTCAAGCCTCAGTCTCTCACCACTTGAATCAGTTGTGGCTCTAACATGTCATCATGTTTTCTGACTTATCATTTTACTTAGGTGAGTTAATAATTGGTAACTTTGCTATAACTTGATGCTTGATCACCTGTTGACAGCAGGCTTCTAGTTATTTGGTTTTCTGTCTTTCTCATTCCACCTAGTGGAGTTTGGGAGTGCCATGTGGGACTAAGAGGAATGGCACCTGAAGGGCAGTGTATTTGTTTTTTACCATTGGGCAGAGCTTCTTGGATCTCTTTGTCCACCCTCCCAAATTAATATTGCCGTGTCTTTTATTTAAGGCTATTTTGGTATTTTTTTTAGAATTACATAAAACCATGGACTGTATTGCACTATACATATTAGTTCTCTTTGAACTCTTAGACATAAAAACAATTTAGCACCAAATAGTATGGCAGGAGGCTGAATACCATTGTCCAAGGATGGTGCAGTATTCTAAAGGAAAGTGGATCTCATCTCACTTTTGTACTTTCCTTACAGAAACTCGTGTTCCTGATGTGCCTAGCTCTCTTCACGTCCGCCCACTTGTCACCAGCATCGTAGTAAGCTGGACTCCTCCAGAGAATCAGAACATCGTTGTCAGAGGTTATGCCATTGGTTACGGCATTGGCAGCCCTCATGCCCAGACCATCAAAGTGGACTATAAACAGCGCTATTATACCATTGAAAATCTGGGTATGTTTGCAAAGTGAGGAAATAATTGTGTGTGTGATTTCTTTCTTTTTAGCTTTTTATTGAGTAATAATTTCATTTTTACAGGCAAATTGCAACAATTTGTATAACAAATTCCTATGTAGTCTTCACCTGGATTCCCCAAAGGTTAACATTCAATCATATTTACATTTTTATTTTGTAGAATGTCTCTCAATTTAGTCTTGTCTAATATTTCCTCATTACATTCAGGTTATGCATTTTTGGAAGGAATAGTGTAGACATGTTGGGTTCTTATTGGCACATCATATCAGAAAGCACATTATAGTCCATTGCTAGTGATTTTAAAGTTCTTGGTTCAAATGGCATCTGCCACATTTTCCCACTATAAAATTATTATTTTTCCCTTTGCAATTGGTAAGCACCTTTGGAGATGAGTCTTTGTAAATAGACTATCTTTGACATCTTTCTTCGAGTCCTTTCTTCCTTCTCGACACAATATGATGATCCAGGTTCATCTGGTATTTTCTGAGCCTCAGCCATGCAATCATCAGTTTTTCCAGGGAACCTGGTTTCTTTTATGAAAAATAATTTTAGAAACCAGCACCTGGCCACTATGTGTGCTCACTGTTACTGGTATAGAAAATCCTGAGGAATCTACACAAAGGCTACTAAGGTCACAACATACAAAATCAGAATACAAAAACAACTTTATGTACTAACAGTAAGCAGTTGGAAATTGGAATTAAAATAACAATATCACTTACAATGGCATAAAAAAAAAATATGAAGTTACTGAGTGAGGTGGTGCATGCCTGTAGTCCCTCCTGCATGAGGGCTGAGGTGGGAGAATCATGTGAGCCCAGTAGTTGGAGTCCAACCTGGGCAATGGAGTCCAACCTTGGCTCTTAAAAAAAGAAGATGAAGTACTTAGGGATAGATTTACAAAATATATACAAGATCTGTGCTCTGAAAACTAGAAAATAATTGCTGGAAGAAATTAAAGACTTAAGTAGAGATAACAGCTTCAGTGCCTGAAAGCCACAATATTACGAACATGACGTTCTCCCCAGTGCAATCCCAAGTAAAATCCCAACAGGCTTTTTTTGTAGAAATTCATAAGCTGATTCTAAAATGCATGTGAAAAAGCAAAGGAAATAGAATAGCCAAAAATGTTTGGATAAGAATAAAGTTAAAGGACCCTGCTGGATACTTTAACTGCTATAGTTAAAGGATACTGCCTGCTGTAGTATTGAGACACTGTGGTGGTGCTGGGGTAAAAGTAGATGTTACACGTCAACAGAACAATGCAAGAGTCCTGAAATAGATCCACACATATATGGTCCATTGATTTTTGTTGAAGACAGTCTTTTTTTTTTCTTTTATATTGTTTGGAATTCATTGAGGGTACAAAGAATTAGGTTACACTGATTGCATTTGTTAAAGTCCCTGAAAGTTGTGTCCCGCCCCTAAGAGGTGTGCCAGACTCTGCCCCCCTACACCCCCGTCATTCCCCTACTCCACTCCTTGTATTAGCTCATCTATGGCTGAAGATTGTCTTTTTAACAAAAGATGTGGGATAATTAAATGTCTACATGAGAAAGAAAATGAACCTTAACCATTATCTTACACCACTTGTGAAAACAGACCTAAATCCAAGAGCTAAAACTACAAAATTTCTACAAGAAAAGAAGAAAAAATTTTTCATAGTCCTGGGATAGGCAAGGACCTCTTAGGCTACAAAAAAGCACAAATCATAAAATTTAAAAATTGATTAAATTGGACTTCATCACAATTTAAAATTTCTACTTTTTGAAAGACATCAATAAAATGAAAAGGAAGGCCACATAACATATAAAAACTCTTACATCTCAATTATAAGGAAACCCAATAAAAAAATGATTAAAGAGTTGAGCAGACACTATATCAAAGAAGGTGTATGAGTGGGCACGTGGAAAGACGCTCAGCACCATTAATCACCAGAGAAGTGCAGCTTAAAACCACAATGTTATATACCCACTAGAATTACTAAATTAACAGACTTTACTTTACTTTAACAGACTTACTTTAACAGACTTTCAATACCAAATATCAACAGGGGTGCAGAACTGGAGCTCTCATGCTTGCTGATGGGAATGTGCTAATATGACCACTTTGGAAAACAATTTGGAGGTTTCTTATAAAGTTAACCATATAACCCAGTACTGTCACTTCGATATTTAATCAAGAGAAATGAAAGCACATGTCTACCTAAAAACTGGTACCCAGATATTCATGTAACTTATCACAGCCCCAAAGGAAAAACACCTTTTCATCAGTAAGTGGTGAATTGTGATATAACTATATATTCAGGGTATTTAAAAAAATAGCCTATTGAGACAACAACAGAAATGAACTCTCAAACGTGATGCTGAGCAAAAGTCAAACACAAGACAGTAATACTGTGTTACTACGTTTTTATGAATCGCAAAATAGGCAGAACTTACCTGTAGTGCCAAAGTAAGGTCGGTGGCTGCCTGGAACCAGGGGTGGTAGGAATTGACTACAAGGGAACTACTTGTACTATTGGAAATACTCTATATCTTGATTTTGGTGGTGATTGTTTAGCTATATATATTTGTCAAAACTCAACAAAAGGTACATTTAAATAGGTACGTTTTATTGTATACCAAGTATACCTCATAGTCAATTTTAAAAGCAAAATAATTTGAGTAGCATTAATATTTATAATAGAGAATGAATTGGTTTTGATAGGTCCAATTACTTTTCCAAATTAGATTATCACTGTGGTTTTGTTTTTTGTTTTTATAAGATAGGCTCCTCTCTGCTCTGTTGCCCAGCCTGGGGTACAGTGTATCTATCTTTGGTCTGTCTGTGACCAAATTTTTATTTATTTATTTTGTTTGTTTCTTGAGATAGAGTCTCACTCTGTCACCCTGGTTAGAGTACTGTGGTGTTATCATAGCTCACAGCAACCTCAAACTCTTGGGCTTGAGGCAATCCTTTTGCCTCACCCTCCTAAGTAGCTGGGACTACAGGTGCCCACCACAAGGCTCAGCTACTTTTTCTCCTTTTAGTAGAGATAAGGTCTCACTCTTGCTCAGGCTGGTCAGGCACTCCTCAGCTTAAGCATTCCACCACCTCAGCTTCCCACAGTACCAGCATTACAGGCAGGAGCCATTATGCCTGGCCTGACCCAATTTTTGTTCAAATCATATCTTTGTAATTATTTTAAGAACAACTTCAAGTGCCTACAAATGAGTTTACCTTCATCCTTTCTTCTGGAAAATAAGCAGCAATTTAAATCTTTATTCAAAAACAGATAGCCTTTTTCTTTTTCTTTTTCCTAGCACAAACTAGGAAATGCTTCCCCCACGTGAACATCTCCTAATGCAGTTGTTGAGAGTGAAAGGAAAGCTTTGCTGGTAGAATCAAAATGCCCCTGTGGCAGCTAGCCTCCTGCTATTTTCCTTTATGAAACTACTGAAATGAAAATCCTTTGCATGGCGCCTGAGCTGCTCGGGTGCCAGCCACAGACACCTGAGCTGGTGGGTTCGAATCCAGCCCGGGCCCACCAAACTACAATGACGGCTGCAACCAAAAAATAGCCAGGCATTGTGTCAGGCGCCTGTAGTCCCAGCTATTTGGGAGGCTGAGGCAAGAGAATCGCTTAAGCCCAGAAGTTGGAGGTTGCTGTAGCTGTGATGTCACAGCACTCTACCCAGGGTGACAGCTTGAGGCTGTGTCAAAATAAAAAGAAAGAAAGAAAATCCTTTGCAGTATAGGTAGGACGTGGTCCTGGACCTTCAGGTGCTTTGAGTCTAATAGAACAAAAGTAAAACACAAGAGGACAGTGAAGTGAGTAGAAGTGAAGTATGTTCAGGGAAGGGAAATGCTGAAGCATGTAGAGCAGTCAAGGAAGAAGCTGCACCTGGGCGGGCAAGACTGAAGCAAAGAGACGAGAAGGAGCATTGCATGCGCTGGGCAGAGTTACTCTTTATTAGGGAAGGCTGCGTGTTGAGAAGGAGCAAAGAAACCTGAATCGACATAAAGTAAATCAAGCATGGCCTGTAATTACCAGCCCAGGTAGTTCTGAGATGCATATACTGTTGAGTAAAAGACGCAAGTCAGAGGTGAAGCACGTTTAGGGATTCACTGATTCATCAAACTGGGGCTGAGCTTCAAACCCATACAAACATCTGCCTGCTAGATCTCATAGCTTATATTTCATCTGATCCAAAATTAGTATCATCTTCCCCAAATCTGTCAATCATTTGACACACATCCCAGACACTGTGCTAGAGATAGAGCAGAGATTAAGACAGACATGGTCACAATTATTAGAAATAGTACGTTTAAAACAACTGAAATTCACAGCACTGAGGAAGAAAAACAGAGCTTTATAGTGTGGAATGAGCACTTTCGAATAATAGATTTTTCTAGGTAAAGAGGAAGGATGTATCCGCAGCATGGGAAACAGCTGAACACGTGAAGGCCCACTGGTAAGAGGAACGTAGTGTCCAGGGGCCGGTAATGATGGAGCACAGAGAACAGGGCAGAGTGGTGAGAGGCAAACCAGTCCGTCAGATCCACGAGCCTTGCCTAGAAGGCATGAGGCAGGGAGGTCAGTGACCTCCAGGTCCTGGCTGGGGCAGCAGGTTGGTAGTGGTGCCTTGTACTCAACTGGGAAATACTGAGGCAGATGGGAAGTGCAAAGAGAGGGGAAGGAAGACAAAGAAAATGAAAGACTTGAGACATCCAAAGGGAAATGCCAAACCCACAGTTGAACACAGAGGTCTGGTGCTCAGAAGAATGATTCAGACTAGAGATCTGTATTTGCAATTGATGGCACATACCTGCTAATCGAAGCAAAGACATGAATAAAGTGCACAGGGAGTGGGAGTAGAAGAGGGCCTGGAATCAAGCCTTGAAGAGGTGTGTCACCATTGCTCTGCCACAGTCCCCAGTCTTGGTGAATGACATCACCGTGGCCTACCATGTTGCCTGACCACTTTTCTTTTCAATCAAGTAGTAAGTTTTACTGATTCCATGTGATATTAGTTCTTTCTGACCTGGGAAGACCATGTCTCCTATATTGTTGCCCTTTAGTATCTGGAGAGCAGGTGGGTCACCAAGCAAAGCAGCTATTTCAAGCTTTTAAAGTAACACTGGTCCCATGATGTGTGCCCACTTTGCGTAACTACCCACTTTGTGTGCCCACTTTCTGCTTTGCCAGAAATGAGTAGAATAGGTCAGCTCCCACCCTGAAACACTTAAGTGGAACCCAAGTCTTCATTTCTGAAACTGAACTTGTGAAGGTGTAAACCCTACCTGGATCAGGAATGTTCCTGATTTACCTCAGCTAGTAAGAGTGTGCAGGCTGTTCCACCTATTCAATGCCCCTGTTTTATCTGAGTCTAATTATCAGCATTTTGCATTATCACTAGAGGGAGTGTTTCTCTCAGTCTCACAATTGCAACATCATCTCCAAGCCAGTTAAATCCAGAGACATATCTCATTCTGACCAGGAAGTTTGCATGATGGCCAGGTGAGGTTTGGCCTGTCCTGGAGGCCCCCTGAGGAGTTAAGGACATTCAGCATTTACTGAGGTTAAAAGGTTCTCTTCTCTTCTCTACCTTATTTGTTCTAATCACTGTCCTGTTTCAGGGCATAAAAGAGGTTTAATTTCAAGTTCCACGTTTGGGCTTCCAACATGTCCATACAATGAACATCACAAATCCATAGCACAGGCCAAGAGAGAATTCAAACACGGTCGACCTTCACTGCTGAGACGAGGTCCAGGAACTTGATCCTGGCCAGTTTTTCTAGACTCTGTGTGTTTACATCTTCACATCTCCCCATCCCCCAAAACAATTCCACATACAAAATTTTAAATTTGTTTTTCCTTAATTCCGCTACAGTTAAGATTATGCAAGTTCATCCTTAAATTTTTTTAATTCTATAATGAGGATTGTTTTGTACACTGTCTTCACTTGTTTCTTTCCTTCAGATCCCAGCTCTCACTATGTGATAACCTTGAAAGCGTTTAACAACGTGGGTGAAGGCATCCCCCTGTACGAGAGTGCAGTGACCAGGCCTCACACAGGTAAGGTGTCCTGTCTGTCCCTGGTCTCCAGCTTTTGACAGCAGCTTGCAGAGAATATTGGCATGAGGCCTACCCCATCAGTGCCCTGGAGGGAAAGTGTGTGGCAATTTAGGGTCCAGACTTCCAGCGGGAAAATGGGCCCTCAGCATGGAAAGTTCTGTTAACTCCTGTTTTACTTTTTTGGAAGATACTGATCCTGTCATGTAAGCCGTCCTTTGTAGATGTGCACTCATGTTTCTAATGTATTAGGATATGGAAAGCATGATTGTGAAAGAATTATAAGTAATTTTCTATCTTTTGGGCAGGTGAGTTACATACAACTAAAATGAGTCAAAAAATGAAAAGACCTTCATATCTCCAGAGGAATTATATAGGTTATTGATTGTGGCAATAAATTGGTGACTACACCCTTTGCTTTATTAGTTACTGAATAGGTTGGGAAAGTATTTTTCTATGTGCCTTTCATAAACTTTATTTATACACATATAAAGAGTATAAGGTCAGAGGTACTACTAATTTGATCAATTATACATCTCTTACAAGAGAGAGCAAATGTTATTTTTTCTTTGAATTATCTACTTAAAATATCTCTAAAATAAAGTAATATATAGAATGTAAAATTTCTGTAACTGTATAAAGCATCTAATATGAATGAGAAAGTTTATTGAAGTAAATATAGAGGATGTCCATTAAGTTTGTGTGCAGTTTTAAATTTGTGTGCACGGGAACTTTATGGATGCCCTGTATTAGAGTTGTGAATTTTTTGAAAGGGTACTGAAAAACAAAAAATTTGTTTTCAAAAATGTTCCTTTTTGTTCATTTACAATTTTGTATCTGTATTACCTACTGTGTCTTCTAGGTACTTTGCATAATTGTACAGATTTGATAATACTCTTTTCTTTGTCCCCTTTTTAAGTTTAAGTTTCTACTGAAGACCAGCATTATTACTACACTCTGGTAGTTTTGTTGTATCTTCCACTCTGATGAGCTTAAAATGTATAAATTCTTTTAGGAATAGCTTTAGTATCAGAAAGGAAAAAATAAGGTTAAAAAGAGAATATTAAAATCCTACTACTTTCTTAAATCAGGCCGTAATACAAAAGAACTTCAAAAGTTCATGGAAAAAGAGAATTAAAAGATTTTATTTTTTCTTACATTTCTATCAAGTTCAAGACTTTTGTAAGCAATGATACCAGCCATTTAGTCCCCTAAAGAACAGAGGATCTTGGAAATTTTACCATGTCAATGTAATCTTTTTTACATTATTAACTAAAGAAAAATGGTTGCCTTTTAAGATAATAAAACAAGAGGTCAGTAGGAGCCAAATCAGGATTTTAAGGTAGTTGTCTAGTAATTTTCCATTAAAATTCTTCCAAAATTGCCCTTATTTGTTGAGAGGTATGAGCAGGAGCATTGTCATGGTGGAGAAAGACTCTCTGGTGAAGCTTTCCCAGCTGTTTTTCTGCTAAAGCTTTGGCTAATTTTCTCAAAACACTCTCATAATAAGCAGACGTTATTGTTCATTGGCCCTCCAGAAAGTCAGTGAGCAAAATGCCTTGAAGCATCCAAAAAAACACTGTGGCCGTGACCTTACTTGTGGCAGGTCTGCTTTTGCTTTGACTGGACTGTGCCTCCTCTTGGGAGCCACTGCTTTGGTTGTGCTTCATTGTCGGGATCATACTGGTAAAGCCATGTTTATCTCCTGTTAACAGTTCTTCAGAGAAATGCTTCAGGGTCTCAATCCCCCTTGCTTAAAATTCCATTGAAAGCTCTGCTCCTGTTTGCAGTTGATCTGGTCATAGTGGTTCCCACTGAGTGGAAGGTTTGCTCAACTTCATTTGTTGTGTGAGCTGAACCAGTTGAGGTGTCTATGGTGTTGACTGTAGTTTCTGCTGTTAATTCTTGGTCCTTTGCAGGGCACCACCAAGGTGAATTTTTACTTCACAAATTGATGTGGATGGTCTGCCCCTGCAGGCTACTCTGTTAGCATCATCTCAGCCCTTCCTAAAATGAGTTATCTATTTGTAAACTGCTGACTTCTTTATCTCCATGAATTTCTTATAAAACATCAGTGATTTTGCCATTTTTCTGCCTAAGCTCCACCGTAAATTTGATGTTTGTTTTTGCTTCAATTTTAGCAAAATTCATGTTGCTCTGACAGGGGATCTTTTCAAACTATTGCTTTATCCCTGTTTTATCGTTCTTAGTCCTCACTCTAGATCCTGTTCAAACATGTTATAACAAGTTTAGTGCACATTTATTTTGTGTGAAAAAAATTGAAAACCTTGCATTTTGACAATGTACCTTTTCTGTGAACTTTTTAAAAGAAAGTTGAAATTATTTTCTTTTGTGTGGCATACTTCTGTTGGCGAGAAGTATATAAGGAAATATTCCTAAGTCATGTACAATAGTGATCTTTTCCAAGAGTTGGTGCATATAAGAAAAATATTTCTCAATGAATTCTTCACCCAAAAGTGCATTTTCTATAACTAATTGCTATGTGTCCTGACAAATTTGAAACAAAGCTTTTGATTGTCATGTATGCTGTTCCTCCATTACTTTTAAGTCCTAATCATATAAGAAGTTACTCAAATGGAAGCTAGTTCTTTAGCTTGGTGGTTTTTCATAAACAGTGCCTGTGCCATGGCAGATTTTGAGTTATAGGAAGAACTAATCACCATAACGATATGAGAAAGCCCATTGTAGAACCTGAACTTAAACCCATCTGTGTATAGTTAGAAAACCTAACCAAGAGTTAGGAAACCCAACTGGATCCTGCTGGGTTGCCCTGGGCCTTGTGGCTTTTGTACTCATGCTGGCCCCTGTCTTGGCATGATAGAGAATGTGACTATTGCATATGGTACAGGACGGCACATGAGCATGGACTTTCCTTTCCATCAAATAAGTACTGTCCAGTACTCTGATTTCTGACGTTCATGAAGGCTCTGTCATTTGGACCCATGATGATCGTGACATTTCCTATAACTGAGGGGGAATTGATCCCTGAGTTGTTCTCTAATTGTGTAAAAGAAAGTAGCCCAGCATGGTGTTACTTTACTTTTTCTTGAGGAAGAGTAATGCTCTTAAGTTTCTTTTACTTTATTTGGGTGTGAATCATACTGCTTTCAGACCCAAGACATAGCAAGTCTGGACTTGGCTGCGTCTGGGTATCAGATACCCTTAGTACGAAGACCAGGCTGAGTTGCCATGGCTGACATTCAGGACTCTCAGGTTTGAGAGTAGGACCCTTACATGTCCGTGATATGCTCTCATAATGCCTGTCCCCCAAATTCAGCCGTATTTACTGAAATCTCAGCATGAGCTTTGTATTTCTTGTTTAGAAATTATATCCTTGGTTTTAATAGCAGTTTTCATCTCTTGGTGATCTTTTTTGAACAGGAGGTAGAATTTGTGAGTAATTTTAAGAAAATTTAAGCATGAATAGGTTAATAATCACTGGATTATCACATTTTAATATGCCTGTAGAATGTAGTAGAGAATATAATTAATTACTGCTTCCCTTACCATTTTCCTGCAAATTTTTCCTAAAAGAACACAAGTGGAAATACTCTTTTGAATGAATGGTGGTTATCTATTAACTTTGGATTCTCTTTCTTTTTCTCCATATCTCACCTTTCATTTCATTATATTACCCTGCATTTCCCTTTTCTTTTATTTTTGTTTATGTTAAAATGCCACTTCCTTTTTTTAATTACTTTTTACCCAGACACTTCTGAAGTTGATTTATTTGTTATTAATGCTCCATACACTCCAGTGCCAGATCCCACTCCCATGATGCCACCAGTGGGAGTTCAGGCTTCCATTCTGAGTCACGACACCATACGGATTACATGGGCGGACAACTCGCTGCCCAAACACCAGAAAATTACAGACTCCCGGTACTACACAGTCCGATGGAAAACCAACATCCCAGCAAACACCAAGTACAAGGTACTGATCCATTTGCTCTGGGTGAAAAAAATTAATCACTGATTTTTTTTAATCTTAAAATTCTCAATTCAAATTTTTTCAGAGTGCAAATGCAACAACTTTGAGTTATTTGGTGACTGGTCTAAAACCAAATACGCTCTATGAATTCTCTGTAATGGTGACCAAAGGTCGAAGGTCAAGCACCTGGAGTATGACAGCTCATGGGACCACCTTTGAATTAGGTATGTGTGTCAGAACCCCTGTCACATGGCATTTCTTCTCTTTGCAAGATGTGGAAGCCAGTGGAAGCCCTTGCTCATGCTGTGCCACATTCGGAGTCATGGGATTTCTCACACCTGCTTTTACCACCCAGGCAGGGGAGTACATGAATTAACATCCTATACAGAATGCAGGGAGCAGCTACTGTCAGCTGTTTGAACTGATGGATTGTGGGGGGTTTTGTCACCGAACAAGAATGTTAGCAAATAATAGGATACTATAACTCTAAGCATACCACATTATAGAAATCAATAGACAGACTTGAGTTTAATCCCAGGTCAACCAGCTACTGACTATGATCATGGGTAGGTCATCCTACCTCTCTAAATCTTGACTTCTTCCCATCTGTAAAAGCAGTATTATAATCTCTGTCTTTCCTACTTTGTAAGGTTATTATAAGGGTAAAATGAGGAACAGAGGGGAAGGACATGGGATGTTATAAACCGCAGATAAGATGTAAGGGATTATTGCCATTGATCCTGCTTACTGTAAATTGAGATAGAAAAGATAAAGCCACCTGCCCTTGAGCAAGCCTCGGCCAATGCCATATTTGCTGGAACCGGAACACTTTGCCAGGTGACCCCAGAGCTCCCTCTGTAGCTTTCATGCAAACCAATTAATGACTGAAATCTTTGTTAAGTGTACATGAGAGAAAAAATAAGCAAATTAAAGACAGCATGCTGTCTGAGTTTGAGAAGCTGTTTGCTTTTTGCTCACTTTCAGGCCTACCCTTCTTCTGGCCCCGGGCTTTCCTAGTGTGGACATACGTGTATCCATTAGGAATCTCTGTCTGTTTTGGCCTCCTACTGCTTTCTTTCCTGTATATGTGGATTAAATTCTCCACAAATGGGACTTGGCCCTAATGTCTTTTTGTCTTGTGTACCATTGGTTGGGCTTCCTATAGAGAAAAGGGTTGGATTTGGAGAGTTAGAAATAAAGATCAGAAGTTTAAACAGACCTTTAGTTTGCTTTCTTTGGTAACCATTTTAGGAATGTTTTTAATTCCAACCCATTAGCTAACAAATGAGATTGTGTTTTCCCTGAGGATGTTTGTGTTTCTCCAGACTTCCTCTCATTTTATACTATGACAATTCCAGTATTTTAGGAAGAGAAGAGAACATTTTAGGATGTACTTAATTGGCTCATTTTCCTACTAGTACATTAAAACTTTTTATCTGTGACATAGAAAAACAGAAATGCACTATAATTTTTATTTTACTTTTTCTGTTGCATAAACAGCTTTACTTTAGAGCTATAACCTCAATAATTGGCTGTATGCTTTCAGTGTAAACTTATAATGAATATATGTATTTCTCACTGCCCCCCCCCATAGGTCAGTGGTTAGTGTGCCTGCAGGTTGGAGCTTCACCTAGGCCTGATTTAAAAAAAGAAAGAAAGAAAAGAAAATACATATTTGTCTCCAGGCATGGTGGCTCATACCTATGGTCCTAGCACTTTAAAAGGCTGAGATAGGTAGGAAGATTGCTTGAAGCCGGGAGTTTTAAGACCAGCCTGAGGAGCATAATGAGAACTTGTCTCTCCGAAAAATAAAAAAAAAAAAAAAATAGCTGGATGTGGTGGTGCACTCCTATAGTTCTAGCAACTCAGGAAGCAAGGCAGGAGATCACTTGAGCCCAGGGCATTGAGGTTGCCACAGCTATGATAATACCATTGCCTCTAGCCTGGGCAACAGAATGAGACCCTATCCCTGTTTCAAAAAAAAAAAACCAGGACAGTGCCTGTGGCTCAAAGGAGTAGGGCTCCGGCCCTATATGCCAGAGGTGGCGGGTTCAAACCCAGCCCTGGCCAAAAAGTGCAAAAAAAAAAAACAAGAAGAAAGAAAGAATATATCAATTTATAAATCATGTATTCAAGGAAATAGGGCTTTAAAAATCATCCTTGCTTTGAAGAGCCAACTATACATTAGAGAGAATACTATTTTATACTTAAAAATATTCTAACAAAAAATAATTCAGGGAAGAGAAAGTCATTTTGGGCAAATTACACAACTTCTCGCATTTTTGTTGTCCTGATCTATTAAGGAGGGCTAATGGCAGTGACCTTTCAAGGTTGCCATAAATATTAAGTGAGATACAGTTTGCACATTTTTAGGTACTTGGTACAAATGTCATTTGATTTCCCTACCTGCCTATCCTGTCCCTGACTCCCCCAGATGCCAGTTCGGTATCCTCATAGCATGGTTATTTTCCCTGTGGTACTTTGCATATTCTTCTTTTTGTTAGAACTGATTATAGACAGACTATGATTTCTTTGAAGCCAAGAGGCTTCATCATTTTTGTTTTGTGCCCTTTATTGTGTCTCACATGTGGAAATGGTTGAGAAAATGGTGCATTAAATTGAAATGGACAGAAATTATGAAAGTATTGTTATTTTGTAGTTCCTACTTCTCCACCCAAGGACGTGACAGTTGTGAGTAAAGAAGGAAAGCCCAGGACCATAATTGTGAATTGGCAGCCTCCCTCAGAAGCCAACGGCAAAATTACAGGTAAGATTAATCCAGGTATGCTTTGCCTGTGCAGTGCTCCTGCCTGCAGTGGCAAGGTGTTCCAGGCAGAGGTGTTCCAGAAGTGCTCTGTTGTCCGGAGAAGTAGGACTCTGAGGCTGGCTTGGTCATTATATAGGGTGGTGTGAGTCATCATGGTCCTTGAAATTGGAGCAAGGCTGTGCTGTTTGCCCGTAGTGGCATAAAAATGAGTCACCAGTTGATTCTGAGTACAAATCTGATAGGGAATGGAAGATAACAGACAGCTATTGGCTATAGTGGGACTTTTAATGGATGTATTTATTTTTCTCAAGAGAGCTATTCTTTGCCTCTGCCTAGATGACTGGCTTTGGAGTTATATACTGCTTGCCTCATTCTACAGGTTGACACCCAACATAGGTTCCAGCTTTTTATCCCAAAGCCCATTAGGCATTTAATTCCTTTTTCCCTCAAGGCCTGCTACTTCAGGTACCTGTGCTCGTACAATTAGAGATGAAAGTTTGAATTGGCCTAGGCCTTTGAAGGACCTGGAATTTTCCCTTAGACTATCAGAGAAGAACCCTCCACAGAAGAGGGGATACTAGGCCTTCCTCAGCCTGTTTATCAAGGAGGGACCCTGATGAGATTTAGTGCCACATGTTCCCTTTGGAGCTGCTGCTCCGTGTAGGTGTGTGCTGAAGAACCGGATTTTGCTTTCTAAAGTTCCTTTGTACGAATAAGAAAACAAAACATATTTCTTAGCACTGTCCTGCTTCTAGCTTTCAGTAGGAATCCCTTCCCATAAATACTGGTCTTTATGTCATTTTTTAGGTTTTGATTTTGCCTCTTCTGTAAAAGAATGAAACTTGACTTGACTTTGACTTGACTTTATATGTTGAAACCAGTAACAACACAGTGTGGGTTTTTCACTCCTGGACAGGTAGGCCTGTGGTTGTGACACTTCCTGCTTCAATGTGGTGATTGACTGCCCCCTGGTGGCAGTATCGAGTGACAGTTCACTGTGGCTCTGCCTGTGTACCAGGGGTTATTCTCCTGGGAGGTCATCCCCTGGAGAGCTGAAACAGTATATCAGGCCATGATTGGTTTTCAAAACTGTATTATTTTCATTGTAGATGCTTGAGGGTGCATTATCTAAATATTTTGGTGAAACATGCATATGAGGTGATAGGCATTTATTAACTTACTACAGAAGGAGAAGCTGCAATGAGGTTTCTTTTCCCTTTAACTCCCTTGGATAGGTTACATCATATATTACAGCACGGATGTGAATGCAGAGATACATGACTGGGTTATTGAGCCTGTTGTGGGGAACAGGCTGACTCACCAGATACAAGAGCTAACACTTGACACACCGTACTACTTCAAAATCCAAGCCCGGAACTCCAAGGGCATGGGGCCCATGTCTGAAGCCGTCCAATTCAGAACACCTAAAGGTAATGCTCCCCAAACTGAGGGCTTTACTGTGTGTCCCTTTAGTGGAGCTGTGCTTACACATACCAGCATGTAGAGTCTGTGGATGATACAAGAAATCCTAATGCTGAGCTTGTGAGCCACAGTGTGAAGAAATCAGCACTTCTTAGGTTCCTGGCCTAACTATGTCACATACAAGAACTCTTGCTATGGGCTGTTTGGGGCAGGTGCAACTGTAGGAATCTACAAGTTTTTACCAGTCAGACCAGATGTGATTCTTTCAGTTCCCATACAGAGAGATAGGGTGGTGTTGTGATGGATGTTTCTCTTTCAGTGCGTGCAGGCTCTTAACCTGAAAGGCTTATGAGGATCCTTATGGCGAGAAAGGAACTCAAAGGGGTCTTTTACTAAAACTCTAGATAAGGAAATGAAGATAAGCATTGACCCACGTGAGCTTAGGCTAATAAAATTCATCTGGGGACTGAGTCTAAGGAAATACAGAAACCCTATATGAACTTATTTTCTATTAGCACTAAAAATAAGACTCTCTTTGGAAATTTGTTGGGGGGGGATGGGGTTATTTTTTTTTTCCCTTTAAAAGTTCTGCCTGTCCCATCTTCAAAGCTTGTGATCCTTGCTCTTGTTTTTTCTTCCCCTGTGCTTGGCCTGTTAGCGGACTCCTCTGATAAAATGCCTAATGATCAAGGTAAATGAGTAGATGGCCTCTCTTTCCTTTCCTCTCCTTTGTGCCCTATTAGTCTTTTGGTTTTGTTTCTTTTCTTTTTTTTTCCTGAAAATTAGTGCCATGTGTAAAAACCCACATATTTATTGGCCAAAGTGGAGTTGAGTCCATATTTGTAGCACGTGTGGTATCTGAAAAGCTGGGAGATTTACTTAGGAGCTAAATAGGCAGAGGGAAACTGAGTCCTAAGCTGCAGGAGATTGGCTTTACGTGGGGTGAGATTATCCTTTGTTCTAGGATACTGAAGTTCTGTAACAACAATAGGCCTTTGAGTCATAAGACTAAACATACCAATTTTTCATATTCATAGCATCTAGAATTTTGTTAGTGTCTCTAAATGAAAAGTTGCAGTCAAATTCAGTGAATATCCTATTTTCCTCTTCCAACAAAGAACCGACAAATTTGCCCCACTAAATCATGTAATTATCTGTGACCAAATTGGTTCTTTGTTTATTCTTTTACCATAAACTTAATTCAGAAATATTTTTCCATCATTCCTTAAATATATCTGATCTTTTTAAAAGGGGGTAGAAACTATTTAAAATGACAGCTAGGGAAACATGGGCCTTTATGTCACCGTTCTTGAAATCACCTGTCAGCAGTCTTTTCACTGTAACAGCCATGGGGGGAGGAGTAGTGGGGCTTGTGATTTTCCTCTCTGGGGAGTCAGCTAACATGCTATCTGTTTTCCATACTGAGAAAGAACATAAAAGTAAATTTAATAATTTTTCCCATGGCTTAAGAGTAATTATTGGAAGTACAAGGTCTTAGATCTTGGGTTAATGGCAAGGAAGAATCAAAATCTGAGATACCAAGTTTTTCAGAACACTTTGGAAATGTGTTTGCATTCAGTGAGTTCACTGGAGAAACTGCAAACATACTTGGTTATGTGCATGGAAGTGTGAGAACATAAAAATACCATAACATATATACACAGAAAGAAATATGCTTATTGTTTTCATGCTTTATTTGATAGTCAGAGTACAATTCTTAGCTGCACCATACCTCTGGTATTTAAAATTCTTTACCCATTGGTGTTTTGGGTGCCAGAGTCATCCTTGAAATTTCTTATTCATAGTTTAAATTTAAAAGAAAAATATTGGGAAATACAGGGAAAAAACCAACCAGTCAATTGACGAAGTATTACATCATTATTTTCACAGTATGATGCTCTGGACAGTCTGGCTTAGATGTAGCCTACCCGACAGTTCAGTGTACTTGTGCAGAGCCTAACAAGTGCTAAGCATCCCCAGCAGATGGACTTTGCAAAAAGCATATGAAAACCAGCAACAATCTTGACAGATAGTGTGTGTAAGGGGTACAGTGATAAGTGTGGATTATGGCAGAGGGGACAGGGTCTGTGAGTAAATTCTAGAATGTGCTCTTTTAGATGTCTAAGAATTTCTGTCACTCTCTTTGAGGGGCAGGGTTCAGGTTCTGAAAACAGCAAACATTGTTTTAATCTCTAGCTTTATTCGGGTAAATGAACTGCATACCAAAAAATTCAGATTTTATTTTCTTGCATTTCCTCCAAGTTTGATAATTTATAGAAACACTTGACATTAGCCATAATGTTTTGCAGAAACACATCTAGCTTATGCATTTCTAGTCAAGGTTTATTTGTAGAAATAACTCATTTATGTTTTCTGAAGCTTCATGCTCTCTACTGTGTAAAGGGAAAGATGATATTCTTCCCTAAAGATTTATTATGCTTGTAAAAGCAGTGGTTAATATTTATTGAACACTTACTGTTCTCAAAATATTTTATAGTATTATTAAATTTCTGTTTAATCCTCAGCGACAGCTTTGTGAAGTAGATACTATCATTATCCCTGTCTTACAATGAGGAAACTGGCCCAAAATGAATAGTTAAGTAACCGGAGTCAAACAGTTATATATGATGGAGCCAGGATTCAGGTGTAGATAGTCTATTAAGCACTGTGCTAGCTAACTACAAAGAGAACCACTTCCTTTACTATTCCTTATACCTCTTTTCAGGAGAGGAATAGCACTGCTTTAGGGTACAAACCTTGGATTGATACCTTTGCATTATTGGGAAAGGGCTCCTTGTATTTGCTTTACCCAAGCAACTTTTCCTATAAATATGAAGACCAAAGTTCAAGACCAAGATAAAGAGTTTTGAAAAAACAGATAGTTGAGCTTTCAGTCCCAAGCCTGAGGTCAGCAGCCTCACTTAATATGTTCCATGGTGAAGGCTTAGGAGACTGTCCTTTATGAGCAAATGCAGGGAAGACTGACTTTTCTGTCTTTGGATGTTTAGGCGACTGAGCAGTAACTGAGAACCCAATTTAAACTTCTGTTTGCCTTCTTGCTCCCGCTAGGGGTAACTTTTTTTTTTTTGCAGTTTTTGGCCAGGGCCGGGTTTGAACCCACCACTTCCCGTATATGGGGCCAGCGCCCTACTCCTTGAGCCATAGGTGTTGCCCTAGGGGTAACTTTATATTTGGTAGGGCAACTCTATAATTTGAGAAAAAAATCCAAGCAATAATGACACCTGCTAGGCCAAACTAACACAGCAGGACCCCTGAAAAGAGTTCAGTTCTTTAATGTAGGCATTAACCTCATTAGCTCATTGGTTATTTTTCCTAAAGAAGCTCATTGCCATCATCTTCTGGGCAGTCCTTTGGGAACTGTTTCCTGGGCTAAAGAAATGGGTGTGTTTCCCACCTTCTGAACAATAGAGTGACAGTCTGGTCCCAGCTGTGGAGCAGGGATGTCAGCCTTTCAGATGCCTCATTGCCTAGAAAGCTCTGCCTTAGTCGCTTTGCACACATAGATATCGTTTCCTGTGATTCGTGTGCTGCTTCATTTGTCATGGACAGAATAGACTAAAAATGCTTTTTGTGGAAGACACTCACTGGCTGTGAAGTAGACTATGACACCAGTGTGTTGGGCTATTATTGACATTATTTCTTCTCCTTCAGCCTCGGGGTCTGCAGGAAAAGGAAGCCGGCTACCAGACCTAGGACCTGACTACAAACCGCCAATGAGTGGTAAAGCCCTTCCTATAGCAGTTTTCCTTAAAATCTTAAAATGCCTTGTGTAGCTTGTGTGTGGTGGGTAGTAGTATGTTAACCTATTTCCTTTTATTTAACTAGATCTAATTCTAGGTGTTTTCTGGAAAATGTTTCCTGAATTACTATAAGCTTGTTTGTTATAGGGCCCATAAATAAAATTGTTTTCCCACATATCCAACTTAAGATTAATTCCTAAACAAATGGTTCTTTCTGTTGCCTAATGCCTCTAGAAAAGAGTTAGATTTTTGCTTTCAGAAGTCCGGGCATCAGTAGCTCACATGTATAGTCCCAGCAACTCAGGAGGCTGAGGCAGGAGGATCACTGGAGCCCAGGAGTTTGAAGTTGCTGTGAGCTATGATGACATCACTACACTGTATTCTGGGCAACAGAACAAGACCCTTTCTCAAAAAAAGAGAAAAGAAAGAATTGTTTCTTATAAAAACCCTCTGGAGGGATTAGCCATCACCCAGAATAAGCCAAAGAAGTACTTCAGAAACTCTAATACTAATACTTACTGCAGTGCTTTTAGTTTGAGAATTCTAGAAAATTCTTCTTCTTACTCTCCAAGCTCTCCCAAGAGCTGGTGCCTTCTAATTTTATGGTGATACCTCCTGTTCTACAGATTTTCACTGCTTGTAATCACTTTCACATGTTAAATCAAATATGATTTTTATAACACTGTGCAGCAGAGGGGTTAAGATCATTATTCCCAACTACTATATAAGAAACTCAGTGGAGAAATAATATTACTGGGGCCGCTACTAATTATGGCAGTCCTGAGACCAACATCAGGAATTCTGACTTCTGATTGTACTCTTTCCATTGTCACATACAGCTTAAAAAGGAAGGGGGGCCTATACTAGATAGGGGAATTCAGAGTGGCAGAATGCTCACAGAAGTATTGATTAGAAACGATTCCTGTCTCCGCAGATGGTAGAGAAAGGCCTGTCTTCTAGTGTCTCATAGTCTCATTGTGGGAATATAAGGAAGCTGCCAAAGAACTCTCCTTTATGCCTCTCCTGGACTCCTACAGAAGCTTCCTAACCCTTCTTCTCTGACTTCATATCTGTTAATCTCTAGCTGTCTATTTAAGTTTTTTTTTTTTTTTAAAATGGCACTGCCCAAACTTCAGTGAAATCTGCCTAATCTTAGAAGAACCAGACAAGCTTGCAACCTGCAGGGAATTTTTGTGCTCTTAGTTCTAGGTCTTTGTTAACAACTTTCTCTTCTCTGTATATGTTACATTTAGGTAATATGTGTGTTGTCTACAGTGTAATATTTAAGGCTGTGAGAAAAGTAATTCTTTGTCTTTTTTTTCCATTTATGTATTCATTCATATATGCATATTTTTAAAAGTTCAGGCTCTATGGGACAGGCTATGGCAGTAAGAGGCACGGGCAACAAACTGCTTGATAGAGAAAAGAGAAAGCTTCACACAGGAAGTGATGTCTAAGCTAGGCCTTAAAGGCTGCACAGAAGACTGCTAAGTGTCAAGGAAGGAGCTAGACATGCCAGGAAGCAAGTGCAGAAGCATAGCAATATACAGCCCAGCCTCTCCTGGGGTTACTTCACCTAGAGACAGAGTAGAGTGAGTTGAAAAGGTGAGTTTGAACCAGCCTGTCAAAAACTCAAATACCAGTGCTGAGAAATTTGAGCCTCACCCTGTAGATAGCGCATGTCAAGCATCTGACACTGCCGGCACACTGTGACTTCCATTTGTCGATTCTCCATTTTTCCTCTCCATAATAGTCAAGGATGAGTTGGAGGCTGAGTATGAAGTCAGAGAAGAAAGGTTAGGAAGCTTCTGTAGGAGTCCAGGAGAGGCATAAAGGAGAGTTCTTTGGCAGCTTATTTTTGCCGTATCTTGGGGGTCAAATAGGTGGAAGAGAATCCGCCATTGTTGAACGCAAGGAGGAACCATTGCCTCCCACGCCCCAACTCCCAGCCTCTGCTTTGCGGTACCTGCCCCACAAAGTGCTGACCCGGGTATGGTTCAGCCCTACTGTTAATAACAGCATTCTGTAAAGCCCTACTCTAACATGAGTAATAGGGTCAGTTTTATTGACCCTGGTACCACAGTCCTTCTCAAATACAAAGATGTTATCTTACTGAAGGTCACTATGTAGTTTAAGTTATCTGTCGTCTTACCTTTTCTCATAAATGGAGGATAAAAATGATTGAACCAAATGTAGTAGAATAAGCTCTTAAGCCCTTCTAAATCAGCCCCAGATTTAGCACTAGGCTCAGATGTAACCTATAAAATCATGGAATCCAAATTGGAAGGTTAGCTAATCCAGTGTTGTGGAAGGGATTCTCACAACGAGTATAAGTTTGGATTAGATCATAAATTTGTAAGCCAGGTTATGTATGAGAAACACTTCAGGAGATTTTTTTAAAAACCCAGATTCACAGGCCCACAGGCCATACCTTCTCAGTAGGAATTTCTTCCCCAATGTCCCACACTGGTAGGATGGCCCGTCTTAATTACTTCTAATGACTAAAGACTCATTGCTTGACAGTACATATTGTACAGCTCTAATTGTCACAAAGATGAGTGAGAGAGTAACTACAAGGAAAGACACCAAATATCCATGGTGGTTAGTTCGAGCTGTGTGGCGAGTTTTGCCACATTTTATAATAGGAGCATGTGAAACTGAAATGATGAGACAGGAAGCAAAGAAATGTTTTGAGAAATGGGAAAGAGCAGGACTTAGAGCTAGATTACAAGAGGCCTGGATTAAAAGTCTGGGCTTCATCGTTTAAACAGGGAGAAGTGATGGCAATGAAAGGAGAAGAAAATCTGAATTTCCTCAGGGCCCTGAATGATCTGGCCTTTGTACACCTCTCCAGGCTCATCTCTTTTTTTCTCATTTTTCTCCTTATAACCTGCATCTCTCATACTTAAGTAACACTGGCTGCCTTCCCCTTCCTAGAGAAGGGTTGTTTCTGCCTTATGTCCTTCCCTGGGCTATCCCCAGCCCCCGGCATGTTCCTCCCTCAGGTCCTTACATGATGGGATCTTTCCTACCATTCAAATCTCAGATCAAATGCCATCTCTCCAGAGAAGCTTTTTCTACCCAATCTAAATTAGCCACACAGTCACTGGATATCGTAGTGACTCAGTAACACTCATTATTAACTACTAATTTGTTACTCCGTTGTTGTTTGCCCCACCCCCACACTCACATCTGTGCTACTCACCTTTGCGTCCTTAGTAGCTGGAGCAACGACGGGCACATAGCAAACCTCACTAAGTGTTTGTCAGAGGAGTGCGTGTGTACTCACCTTCATTTTTCTTGAAACCAAGAGAATTAATTCTGCATAAGTTGAGTATTGTGATAACAGGGGACATTTTATTTTTCAAGCAGTTTTTTGTAATCTTAGACCTCTGCGTGCTTTGAAAAACTTTCGACTTGTATGAATGTACATTTTACATAGTTTTGAAAGCCAGAAAACCAAATGATTTACAACTGATGTTTTACAAGGTGAATTTATATATCACATAAGACACCAGAAGGGCAAGACCTTTTATTTGTCCAAGTGTTTCTGAACCTTTGAAGCTCTTGAATCTCTGCTGCAATTTGAGAAGCTTTTATTGAACACGTCTTCCAGCAGGGCTCTGTGCTGAGCCCTGTGCACAGGGCAGACTCCATTCTGCAGGCGCTCATGATGCAGAGAAGGGGGCTGTGTGCACGCAGGACTTTACACAAGGCACCGTGATGGTGTTGGAAAGAAGTTCTCGTGAACCATCGTGGAGTGGTTCTCCAGCCTGGGCATGTGCGTTTCTAAATTCTCTAACACAAACAGATGTACCGTTTTCCCCTCTGCAGGCAGCAATAGTCCTCATGGCAGTCCCACCTCTCCCCTGGACAGTAACATGCTGCTGGTCATCATCGTTTCTGTTGGCGTCATCACCATCGTGGTGGTCGTGATCATTGCTGTGCTTTGCACCCGGCGTACCACTTCTCACCAAAAAAAGTAAGGACCCCAAATGCAGCTCATAGATTTTTGGTATCTTCTTTTGCTTCCATGTGACTTCTGTATTTAGAGTGGTACACTGAGTTAGGACAAAAAATACATGAAAGGCGCTGTTGAATATTTTAAAAGAAAATGGGAAACAGTCCCTCTTATAAATGTGTATCAGTCAACATCCTGGCAGGAAAGAGGTGGCACACTTAAAAAGCTTCCAGAAGGGACTGTTTACAAAGTCATGGGTGGGGTTGGAGGAAAGTAGGCAGGGATGCTCAAAGGCTAGGAGCAGTGACACGTCACTTTTGCCCTTAGGTCTGAAGCAGCAACAGGAGAAGGCTGTTTTCAGGGATCTGAAGCAGTAGGCAAGGGCTTCCTGTCAGGAATGTGGTAGGCACTAGAGGCACGAAGCCATTGCCACATCCCGCCCAGTGGGAAGGAGAGGGGAAAACTTCTCCCACCCTGCAGTCTCTTGCCAGTCCCTGCTGTTGTCCAAACCCAGCTCAGAGTTACAGAGCCACATAGAGAACAGATACAGAGAGGAGAGTGGAAACCACCCAGCATTACTGGTCACCTCTTTGGAGCGCTGTTTATACACATACCCAGTAAACCAGACATGCAGGAGTCTGTGGGCTCTTACAGGCAGAGCCATGGCACGGGTGCCCATCAAGGTGGACGGAGACCATAGACGTCTTATTCTAGGTCTCAGTTTAATAATATTTTAATAGGAGTGCTACCAAGTATAGGGGTGGAGGGGGCAGGGATTGCTTTAATGAACAGGAAGGATCTTTGATAAGATCTTTCATCAGTTTCACAGAGCAGTCAAATAGCCCAGAATTCCTCTGGATTTGAGGCTCGCTCAAGTCCCTTAAGCAGATAGCAAGGGGCTTCAGTTATATAGGACTTAATAAGAGATACTTCTGAACTTGAGACACTCCTTGGCCCTAGGTCACATTCAACTCATACATCTGGCCAGTAGGACAAATAGAAAGAGATTCTTAAGTTAACCCCTAATAACAAAAACGCAATATGGCAATAAAATGACTTCAGTTGCCATATCCTGAATAATCTTAAGAAGAGGATGTTGCTCCATAAAAGAGAAAGAGGAGTTCACATCTTTGTGATTATCTGTTCACACTTGGTCTGCCCCAGGCAGGGAGGCATGTATTTCACAGTGACAAATGTGTGTTTTCAGTGTACAGTGCAAGTGCTTCTAGTAATGACTTAACTCATTTTCTGTAGGTTACATGATATTTTAAATCTCTTTCTTTTGTGCAAATGACTACTTTGGGTAGCTTGCACCATGTGACTTTCCTGAGAGCATGGGAGCTCCTTGTATGGGCCTCTGACCACTCCTCTCAGCTTTCCCTGTCTACTCCTAATAATGGAAAACCATTAAGAGCCTCAAAGACTGCATTTCTTCTACTCTAAAACTTTTCTTCAAGCTACTTTATTTGATATTTCATACTTATCTATCCTTATGAACTTGGTTGTACATCTAGTTTTAGAAATCTTTGAGGTCTTATTTATAAGAGTCTAAAAACCAAAATGACAAAGAGTTGCACTGAAGGATTTAAAATTCAAAGTAAATTTAAAAAAATAAGGTACTCATTCAGATGGAGAGTAAGAAAATGAGTTGGTAATAGGCTTTGTACTCTATATGTGAACCAGCAAGTCCTACAGGTTTGGGTTCCTTTCTTTAAAATAATTGTATCAAATCTTCACAGGGCTTTACCCTCCCACTCCCCTAGTGACTACTTTGCAAGTGTTCCATTAACCACTGAAAAAAGTGAGTCAGCTTTTCTTATTACTTATCTTCCTCTTTAATACCGGAGGTCCCTTTTGTTTAGGTGGCAGCTGTTTCAGAGTTGACAAAGCATTTAGAGACTCTAACCCAGTGTTTTTCAACCTATTTCATTTCACACTTGAACCTATAGTTAAACTTCCATGGCACACTTAAATTATTCAATCCAAAAAAAGAATAAAGGCTGGGCACAGTGGCTCACACCTATGATCCTAACACTCGGGAGGCTGAGGCAGGTGGATGGCCTGAGCTCAGGAGTTTGTTCAGGACCAGCCTGAGCAAAGCAAGAACCCATCTGTACTAAAAATAGAAAAACTAGTCAGGCATTGTAGCTGCCTCCTGAAGAACTTTCAAATCTGCCTCTTTCCTCACTCTCACTGTCCCAGGCCACTGTCAGTCCTGACTGGGTAGCAGGAGCATCCTGGCTGGTCTCCTTTGCCCCACACCCCACAGATCTGTTCTTCACGCCAGGGCTGGTGTCATGCTTTAACTCAGAGTTGACCTCCTTACTCTCCTGCTTAAAATCATGTAATGGTTTCTCATTAGTCATGGAGGGAAATTCAAACTCTGGACGCTGTTCTAAAAGCCCCTCTGATCTGACCCGCACTGCTTTCCCAGCTTTATTTCATAACACCTTCCACATGGTGCTGGCCCCACCACTAGCACTCAGGATTTCTTAAAATCCCTCTCACATACCACTAGGCTGTTGTTCTCTGCTTTAGGATTCGACATAAGCTGATTTCACCATCTGGAATGTGCTTTCTGTCCCCTTTAGGTCTTAGCTTAAATGTCACTTCCTCCTCCAGGTTCTTCCCATCCAGCTTATAGATGTATCTGTTCAGAGGTCTCTGTAACACTTGGCATTTCTTTAAGCTCAGAGCATTTTAAAATAATAGTTCCATATCTGTCTCTGTCACTTGGCCAGAACTTCTGAGGGCACAGCAGTCTTAGCACAGGGTCTTGCGTCTGCTCAGTACCTAGTACGTGCTTATTGAAGGGGTGAGTGGAGAGGCTAACACTGCCTACTGAGTGGCAGGCCCCGCAAGCCCACAAGGCTTCCTCCCTCCTCAGAAGCCAGAGGCTCTCCCTCTGCTCCATTGTTAGGTTTCTACTTAACGTTGTTTCTCTACAGATTGGAAAATTGTAGAGGAAACTTCTTTAGTGACTATTTGATTTAAAAATAGCCGGGAATGTGAGACCAGCCTGGATAACATATCACGATCTCATTGTCTACAAAAAATTAAAAATTTAGCCAAGCGTTGTGGCACACACCTATAGGCCCAGCCACTCAGGAAGACTGGAGTGGAAGGATCTTCAAGCCCAGGAGTTGAGGACTGCAGTAGATTTGATCACTCCATTGCACTCCAGCCTGGGCAAAACCGCAAGACCCTGACTCTTAAAAAGAAAATTAAAAAATCTATCTTAATTTCTTAACACTCAAAAAAGTGATCACAAGGCAGTATCTAAGTATGATGACATACTTATGTGTGGACAGAGTGGAAATACATTTACTCTTTCCAAAAGTAAACTTTTTGCCTCCATTGTTTTTTTTGAGGGCGTGGAGGTAGGGGAGGAATTGTTATTTGGTTTTTTGGTTTTTAGTTTTTTAGTTTTTGCCATTGTTTGAAACATCTTTTAGAAAGGCAATTTTATTTTTTATTTTTATTTTTTTTTGAGACAGAGCCTCAAGCTGTCCCCCTGGGTAGAGTGCCGTGGCATCACGCTCACAGCAACCTCCAACTCCTGGGCTCAAGCGAGTCTCCTGCCTCAGCCTCCCAAGTAGCTGGGACTACAGGCGCCCGCCACAGCGCCTGGCCATTTTTTGGTTGCAGCCATCATTGTTGTTTGGCGGGCCCGGGCTGGGGATTCGAACCCGCCACCTTAGGTGTATGTGGCTGGTGCCTTAGCTGCTTGAGCCACAGGCGCCAAGCCTAGAAAGGCAATTTTAATCACTCAAGCCTTTTGACAAGTATGTTCAAAGAAGTTATTTTTTAAAACGCTCCTCTTAATTTTGTGCCTAGGAAGCGAGCAGCCTGCAAGTCCGTGAATGGTTCTCACAAGTACAAAGGCAATTCCAAAGATGTCAAACCCCCAGATCTCTGGATCCATCATGAGAGACTGGAGCTGAAACCAATTGATAAGTCTCCAGACCCAAACCCCATCATGACCGATACTCCCATTCCTCGCAACTCTCAAGATATCACCCCAGTTGACAATTCCATGGACAGCAATATTCATCAAAGGCGAAACTCATACAGAGGTACATTTTAAGTCCGTGTTTTCCTCCAAATGTTGGGAGACCATTCTCATTTAAGTCATTTTTTCATTTTCTGCAGTTGCTTTGATTTGGTGATTCCTATACAAGATCAGGTTTAAAGAAATGTGTTCTAGGATTTTGTCAGCATTAGATGAAGGATAGCTAGTTTGTTATGGAGGAGACGTGTTCTATTTCCATAAGACACAACCTTTTAGAATCTCAGGCTTTAGCAGTGTAATACTCCAGTATTCAAGGAAGCCAGCCCACATTTCATTCTCTCCCTGTAGCTGGCCTGCGCCTGTCACTGTGGTGTGTAGGTGCTCTGGGTCTGGATGTTCCTAAGATGTTGCACTGCAGTGTGGTGGGCAGCTTGTGTTGTCCACGCTGGTTCTCAGCAAGGACTCCTGCATTTGTCTTCCTCTCTATCTCACTTCCTACAGAAGTGCTTTGTTCCCATCATGTTATTTGTGAATTCTGAATCCCCTATTAGAAATGTTTTACTATGGTGGCCACTCGGTGGCCTAGGGTACATGCCTGTAACTGACCTCCATACCTGACATCTAGGGCATGAATCAGAGGACAGCATGTCTACGCTGGCTGGAAGGCGAGGAATGAGACCAAAAATGATGATGCCTTTTGACTCCCAGCCGCCCCAGCGTAAGTAAAAGCTTCTGTCTGCTCCAGTGATGCCAGTCTGTCCAGTCACGTAGGGAAGCAACTGTGAATGATCTCCGTTTGGTCCTAACACAGAAGGATAATCCACCAAGCTTTGACACCTTCAAGAAGATGTATCAAACACTTGCCATATTTTACAGTAAATATTGTTCTTGAGACTAGCACCTTTAAGTTTAGGGTAGATAAGCTAAAAAGCCCATATCCCTGGTCTCCCAGGAATCAGGAAGTATCTAGTCTCCCTAATGTTTGTGCCCTCTCTATGGGAGAGACAGAGAAGCATCGCAGAAGGATGGGGCTGAGGAAGGCCTGATGTCACAGGTGTTCCTTAGGCGTCCTAACACATGTTCAGTGTTGTGTGCAGCTGTGCAATTCTTTTTCTATCTAAACTTTGTTTTAGAGTAGCTTTACAGTGTGGAATTTTTAAAGCAATGTTTTTCAGCCTTACTTGACCATGCTTCACTTTGATAAGTCTAAAAGTTGCTAAGCCTTCTTTAATAATAGTTGAAATGTAATGTAAGTTAAATATCATGATTAAAAACCAAAAAGCAGGGGGACAAACCAATCATTTTTTTCAAACTACTGAGTCCTTTTTGTCACTGTTTTTAAGGTAGAGAAGTCTTTCAGACTAGCTGGCACAGTGGGGCTTCCAGGTGAGGGAACTCTCAGCAAGTAACAAGATTGTAAGACCCACAGTAGCCCCCACACAGGGAGGCACCCACGGCACCCTGTACTTGGAAAAGCTTCTCACATGCCCAGCCTTGTGGTGGAACCTCCGAGCACCCAGACATGTACACTCCCTCTCCCACAAACACTCACTGTCCACAAGCATGTGAGACTCTAGATTGTAAAACGCAGTTTTGAAAGAGGATGTCCTGTTCATTAGTAGGTCAGGTCTGCACAAAATAGCTTACGAGGCATGATGGAAAGCAAGGCCTAGACTTGGAAATCTGCAGAGAAAGACCATGGTTTCTCTCTTATAAGAGGTACCCTGGGGTTCCCAGGCTTAAAGACACAAATGCCTGAGAAGAGTAAATTAATCTAATCTAGTCGCTTTTGATTTCTAAGACTACAGTAGCATGACCGCTTTTTTTGTTTGTTTTGTTGAAGACTGGAGTTTCTACCTGAACTGGTTTATTTCTAAAACTTATGAAAATTGACTATCTTTATTTCTAGATATATTAGTTTCAAATATGTTTAGAAAAAAAAGATATGCCAGTTGATACTATTCTCTTTTTTTTTCTTTTTTTGATAATGAGGAATATTATTTAATTTGCACCTCAACAGTTGGGTGGGTGAGTGGAATCTTTTAACTCAAGAATTTGAAATCAAATACATACATGGTCTTTAGGTTTTGGATATCCTTTTAAAAACCCATAATCCTTTTTCATAGCTGAGTTCTGAGTCCAGAAATGAGGCAGGAGCCATGCAGCCACCATCTGTGTAACCTGGTCTCAGATGACAGTGTGGTGCTGGGAGGCTTGCTGGTGTCAGGATGAGCTTCAGTACAAGGCTGTGCATAGAAGCACCAAGTTCAGATTCAGCTAACACTGCTGGTGGCCTGCTCTATTCCAGGAAGGCCATTCACATTGCTTTATTTTTTATTATTTACTTATCTCAATAGACTGGAAATGTCTTATAAAAGAAAAAACTGATTAGTTTTTCCAGTCTACACCTAGAATGCTTTCAGATTGTACATTTTTGTGTAAAAATCAGGAGATTTATTCTCCCTACCTCAGCCTGAGTTCTAGAAAATGCTGATTCTGATGCACCCACTTTTAAAACTCCTTATCTTCCCCCAGAGGAGACGCTGACTCCCAGGCTGCCCCGAGGCCCCTCCCCAGGCAGCCTTCCACATTGTGTTTTGCTCCCGAGGACCACCCGGAACTTCTGGTCATGGAGAGCAGCTCCTGAGGGAAAGCCCCTGTTCTGTCCTCAGGCGGAGGAGTAGTGCTCCAGGCACCCAACTTGGAGCGGTCTCCTTGCTTACACATGGCCAGGATGGAGATGGCTGCATAGAAACACATCCATTTTCTTGGCTAGGACTTTTCTTCACCAGAATAATGTTGAATGGCCCCACAAGGATCTGGGAAGAGCCCTGGTGACAAAAGATATTTTTAATAAGTTCCAAAGGGCTAATCAAGTTGTATTATGAAGTTCATGAAGCCCTTGCTTGGGGAAGAAAAAGATTCCTTATTTTCTAGTCAACCTTTCCATTTTAGAGGGCAGGTATAGGGCTGGCTACCTTAACCTTAAACATTCTGTTTCTACAATTAGTTTGAGGAAGTGCCTAAGAAAAGTTTATTCCCAAACTCTGAGCTTCTTATTTTGTTTGTCCATCTCTGAGATCAATAATGAAGTTTGTGGAAAGCTGTACGTGGAATTTCTGTCTTCACAGGAAGTAGTATGTGAAATCTTTATGTGGAAATTTCAGATTTTTTAGCTAAATGCAGTGGATTGAATCCTTGGCCAGCATGGGACGGAAAGAGGAAATTAGGAAAAATCCATTTTTTTTAATGTGAATGAATATGGTTGAGCCCCAGACAGGAAGCAATAAGAGATGGTGCCATCAGCCTGTAGTTCAGGCTTTTAGTACTAGATCAGACCATCAAAATTAAATTTAATTTGCATTCCTTTTAAGATATGAAGAGTGATTAAACAGCTTCGTATTCATTTGGCCTAAACACATATTACATGCTTCATTCAGCAATTTTTTTAAAAGGCAGAATGAATTAGGAACATGCTTGAAGGAGAAGGAATGTCTTTCTGTCCTTTTAGTTGGACAAAAAAGTAACATAAACCTAAGTTATGATTTGTTGGCTTATGAATTTATATTTGTGACGTATTCAAATAGAAATTTTTAATGACCCATGTAATTTATGTTTTTTTTGTTTTGTTTTGTTTTGTTTTAGAGACAGAGTCTTTGTCGCCCTCAGTAGAGTGCTATGGCGTCACAGCTCACAGAAACCTCCAGCTTTTGGGCTTAGGCAATTCCCTTGCCTCAGCCTCCCAAGTAGCTGGGACTACAGGCACCTGCCACAACCCCCAGCTATTTTTTTGTTGCAATTTGGCCAGGGCCAGGTTCAGACCTGCCACCCTCGGTATATGGGGCCAGCACCCTACTCACTGAGCCACAGGCGCCACCCATAATCCATTTTTTAATAGAATTGGAAAATACAGATAAGCCAAAAGAAAAATATTCTTTGAATTTTGACCATTCGTTCCTACAAGATAATCACTGTTAACATTTCAGTATTTCTCAGACTTTCTTTTCCTTTACATATATAGACATATGCATAAGAGTGTGTTCATTTTTTAAAACAAACTTAAAATCAATGACAAATTATCCAAATCCAGCCAGCTGCCACCAAAAAGCCAAGGGAGTGTGGTTGGATTATACGGGAGGGGGAAGGGGGTGACTTTGCTCTTGAACTGTGACTGGTATGTGTCCATGCACGCATGTTAAGCATTTCTCTGTCTTGTGTTCATTCGCAGCTGTGATTAGTGCCCATCCCATCCATTCCCTCGATAACCCTCACCATCATTTCCACTCCAGCAGCCTCGCTTCTCCAGCTCGCAGTCATCTCTACCACCCGGGCAGCCCATGGCCCATTGGCACATCCATGTCCCTTTCAGACAGGGCCAATTCCACAGGTGAGAGATGAGGATGGAGCCCAGATGGAAAGTGCTCCAAAAGAGTTGGCAAGCAGAAATGGGGAAGGAATCGCTCTACTTAGAAGAGGGAGCTGGAATTTTTCTCTGTTACTTACTTGGTGTAACATGTCTATGATTGACTCAAATTCACCTCACTTTTCTCCCTAAGTTTTAAGTACTCACTGTAAGGTATCATTTTAGTAAAAACAGCAATATCTCGGGTGGCACCTGTGGCTCAAAGGAGTAAGGTGCTGACCCCATATGCTGGAGGTGGCAGGTTCAAACCCAGTCCCGGCCAAAAACTGCAAAAAAAAAAAAAAAAACAACACAAAAACCAGCAATATCTCTAATCACATAAGCATCCCTTGTTCCATTAGCTTGCATCATAATTCAGTCTTTTTTTCTCCAATTTATTTTTTTAATCCTCTAATTTAAAAGGAACACTCATCCTGGGTGATTTTCAGGTAGCAGCAGCTGCCTTTGCCCACAGTCATCCCAGCATCAGGAAGGTCTGTAGGTGCAAACAAAGAATACCCAGAAGTCAGTGGCTGCCACCCATATGGAGCTAGCCCTCGGGTTGCCTAATGTCATTTAGAAAATAGGTGGCCAAACATGTCCCAGTTTGGAAGTCTAGGAAACAGCATTATCACACAGTTTCAAGGAGAAGATAGTGAAGGTAAAGGGACAGCAAATGAAATAAATATTGCTCCTCATTAATTGAAAATTAATTTCTATCAGTTTTAAACTGCAAATCTAATAACTTCCCTATACTAAATTGTTTTCCTATCATTTGAAACATTCCTGTTAGTAGTTATTATATTACAGGTAGAAACTAAATTTTTGTAGTTTGGGGAAATAAGAGAATGTCAAGTGATTTCTGTATTAAAAGAACCTCAAAACTTACGATAGTAGTCTGGGTTGTCAATAATTCCTCTTTGCCTTTAAGTTTTGATCAATCACAAACATACCCAAAACCTGAAATGAAGATGAACGTTTTATAAAACGATGCCTGATAACCTCTAACATCATCTAGTGCCAAGTCTATTACCTGGTTTGGAGAATGCTGCCTGAACTCATGTCTAAATTTGGCTTTCTATTGTCTTTTTCCAAATCCAGATTTAGGGTCCTCCCTTTAGGGAAAGAAGGACTACAGGATAGACAGTTATTCCAGCCAACAGCATAGAGAACCAAAGTCTGCCTTGCAAACATAGTCTCAAATAGAGCAGAGGACCAGAAAACAGCTCTCCAAACCTGCTCATAGAAAAAGGAGGCTTTATGCTTAACCCTGTTTCTTCATTTTTAAGGCCAAGGAATGCTGCACACTAGGATGTGGGACTTCCTGAGAGGATGGCGGGCTCTGCCCAATCAAATTAGCCCCCTTGTCCTGGACTAGGAGGGGATCAGAGTTGGAGAGAAGCATGGCAGCTCTGCCCAGCCCTTATCCAAGTGATCTAGTGTCCCTTCTCTATGGACTTGTGTAAAAGCAAAGTAGTAATTTGCATTGCTAACAGACTCCTTGCTTGGATAACCAGAGGGGATTCGAGAAGGTAAAGCTAAAGTGATAGATTCATTGAAGATGGATTTGAAATTTAGAATAATATCTAGAAATGATCAAAGTTCTCTTACTATTATACTTTCCCAAGCCCTGTTTCTATAGCTCAGAGTATTGCTGCAGCTCTGTGTGTGCGGGCTTGGCACTAGAAGAACACTTTTCTCTTGTTTAACCAAACACTTGATCAGCGTGGACTTTGTGCGTCAACTGTGAGAGGCAAGTCAGCCAGTTGTACTGCATGGTGTCAGGAAGCACAGAGAAAACAGTATTGTCTGGTGCCCTCTGCAGTTGTATAAGACGTCCCTGGGACCCAAGACCTTTAAGCTAAGGAGGTAACACTCAAGATTGACTTGGCAGCAGGCCCCAGCTCTGCTTTGTGGAGCCAATTCTATTTCCCTTTTCCCCCTTTCCCACCAGTTTTTTGGCCCTCAGAAGTGTGTATGTCAACTTAAAGGCAGTTAAGTCAGTCAAGGAAGACCTCTGTACCTAAGAGCTGACCTAACATACCTGCTGGTACAGGCTGACATGGTCAGGACTTGAGCCTACTTTTCTCTCGTCTCCTCACTGCTCCTGTTCCTAACCAGCTTCCACCCTGCCCAGGATCAGTAGGAACAGGACCTCCCCAGCCTGGTGATTGCTGGCTGGAGGAAGCCTAGAAAGTGAGATCCTTGGCCCACCTCTTTGGGGGTGTGAAGTGATCTTGGCCTAGCAGGCCAGCACAGCCAGGCATGCTTAGGAGGGTGTGTGAGTCCCTCATCCCTGGGACCCAAGACCTGTGAGCTAAGGAGGTAACACTCATGATTGACTTGGCCTGTCTTTTCAGAGCCCAATGGAAAGGTTCATTGCTTACCTCAGCCACAAAGGCAGGGAAATACGTTAGATTTCTGCAGATTGCTTCATGCATTGCAGTAATTCTTTATCTTCAGGGGATACATTCCCTAGTGGAGGCCCAAACCATGTATAGTACCAAACCCTATATATATTTTTTTGATCTGATAACCAAGGTAGCTACTGATGACTAGTGAGCGTGTATTGTATACCTCCTGGATAGGCTGGACCGAGGGATGATCACATCCCAAAGAGGATCCTGCGAGATTCCATCATACTTCTCAGAATGATGCATAATTTCAAAACTTAGGAATTATCTACTTCTAGAATTTTCCAGTTAATATTTTTGGACAGTGGTTGACCATAGGTAACCGAAGCCATGGAAAGCAAAACAATGGATAAGGGGATCAGACGAGGCCTGAGGCTGCCTGTTACAGCCTATTTCCCTGAGCTGGTGTACTCCATACCTCTCCACAGGGGAGGGGACATTGGTCGTGCGGCTCACACTGTTGGAAAGGTCTTCCACATGAGGTCTCCCTCAGCCTTGGTGCAGCTTTTGCCCCGCACGGTTGGGGATGAGAGGTACTGGGCATGGAAAAGTAGTATATATAGTATGTGGTAGTTCAGAGCAAGGGCTTGATAGAGTGCAGGATTCAGATTCTGCCCTGCTAGTTCTGAGCCTGTGAGCAATTTGGTTAACCTCCAGAGCCTTCTGAATTTCTTTGAGACCTGAATGAGCTAATGATATAATTCACCTCACCTCATGCCTGGCTTAGAGTAACTTACAAAGAAAAGAACCTTATAGATTATTCCAGCACGCACCTTTCTTGCATTTCATATAACCCTCAGCAAATTAAACGTTATTCTTCCGGGGACAGTGTCTAAAGACACTGAGACTCTGAGATAGTCAGACTTTGCCAAATCCACGCAGTTAGTGTGCCATGATTAGGGTCCAGATAGACCTGTCTGACTCCAAAGGTAGTGCTTTCCTACCCCACCAGGCTGCCTTTTGGAGCAACTCTGCGCCTCTTCACATATTTTAAGATAGTTATCATATTCTTTATGAGTCTTCCCTTCTTCAGGCTAATCTACCCCTAATCTACCAAAGTGCCTCTCATTTGATACAATCTTAAAGCTGTGCACATACCTCTGGACTGTTAGGTTGTCCATGTCTCACTTGAGCTGTGGGGCTTTTGCTCTGATGAGGCCTTGCACCATCCCTGGCAGGCACGAAGGCCTGTGGCATTGGCTCTCCTGCCATGACCACCAGGCCCTGCCAGCAGAGCTGGTTCCTGCCAGGTACCCAGCCAGCCTTGGTGGCCAGACCTGATCTTCTAAGACTATCAGTCAGTGAGTGAGAATTTTAATTTTCTTTTATACATAATTATGTTTTAACACAATCATCTCCAAAATCTGTATATGTGCTCCATGACAAGTACTGAAGAGAACTTTAATTCTGTAAAATTGTGATCCTATAAAATATAGCTGTGTAGGTGAAAAAATTGAAACAGCTGATTGAGTACAGAATTGTTTGGGACTCTTTCAGAGTAGTCCATTCCTCTACTCTTAGCCTTGCAATGGTTAATCCATATTCCACTGATTATTAAACTGGTTTAGGGGATCCCTAGAAATAGCCAAAATCCTGGGATTTGCATGTGTTCAATGGCAAAAGAAATGCTAACCTTTAGACTTTCCTGCTGTAGAATCGGTTCGAAATACCCCCAGCACTGATACCATGCCAGCCTCCTCATCACAGACGTGCTGTACTGATCATCAGGATCCTGAAGGTGCTACCAACTCCTCTTACTTGGCCAGCTCCCAAGAGGAAGATTCAGGCCAGAGCCTCCCCACGGCCCATGTTCGCCCATCCCACCCACTGAAGAGCTTCGCTGTGCCAGCAATCCCACCTCCGGGACCTCCCACCTATGATCCTGCATTGCCAAGCACACCGTTACTATCCCAGCAAGGTGAGTGAGGACAGCAACACGCCTGGAGGAACCCTTTGGCTCAGGCTTGGAACAGAAATCACCCATTCTTTGAAGAATAACAAAGTAAATATCCTCCAAGCTTATCTCAGCAATTTAGATAGAGTGGTCCTGTGTCATTACCCCACTCAGGAATGCATACAAACCAAAGAATAATTTGCTGGGGAGCCAGGTTGCCCTTTTGAATTGTGTTGATGTGAAGACCCCTTGGTGGTAAAATCCAGTGGCATGGAAATGAGCAACAGATCTGGTCTGCCCAGCCCCCTGGGATCCCCTAATGCCACAAGATGCCAGAAAGCTAGAGGAGGGGTCTGGGAGGCCAAGACTTAGCCCCGTAGGGTCGTGAATCTTTCTCAGAAAGAACCTCAGTATAAGGAAATGAACACTATAGAAGGGAATTTTATTTGGCCAAGTTCATACAGCTCAACAACAGTCCCCTGACCTCAAAGGCATGTTTTTCCCCCTACTTTTCCACGTGATTATCTGTTATGATGGTTTTAGAGTAAGTCAGTGATTTTCAAATTTTCTGGTCTCAGGAGCCTTTAATATCTTAAAAGCTATTGAGGACACAAAAGAGCTTTTCTCCACCTGGATTATATCGATCAGTATTTACCATATTAGAAATTAAAACAATTTTTTTAAATATATTAATCTCATTTAAAAATAGCAATCTATGTTAAAATAAATAGCATAATGTTTATGAAAATAATCATTTTTTAAAACAAAAATATAGCAAAAAGAATGTCATTGTCTTATTTTTGTAAATCTCATTAGTGTCAGGCTTAATAGAAAACAGCTGGATCTCCTATCCGCTTCCGTATTCAATCTGTTGCAATATGTTGTTTTAGTTGAAATATAAGAAGAAAATCTGGCCTCACAAATCTGTAATTAGAAAAGAGAAGAGTATTTTTATAACCTCGGATAATTGTGGATTTTGTTTTTTGATACTATGGCAAAATTCAACAAGTTGTAATTTTTTAAAGGTTTGGTTATAATGCCAGATCTAAAACCATAGTCATGAACAACTATTCGTACTCTATTCCATTAAAATTCATTGGCCTATCTTGTACTTTGAATGCATGATACTAAAATATTACACATTGGTCATTTAGGAAATACTGACTATGCAAATCCCCCAAATACTGATACATTTCATTATTTCATGTCAAAAACACATTCTTTGAGATTAGGAGTTTGAGACAAGCCTGGGGCAACTAAGCAAGACCCCATCTCTACAAAAAATAAGAAAAATAAGCTGGGTAGAAAAGTGAGTATCTTCCTTAACAGTTACTTAGAAAGCTGATGCAGGAAGATAAGTTGAGCCTATGAGTTCAGGGTTGTAGTGAGCTATGATCATTGTACTTCTGCCTGAGCAACAGAGCAAGACCTGTCTGTTAAAAAATAAAATAAATAAAACATTCATTAATACCAATGAAGTGTGTAAGTATTAAGAAGCTCTGATCCCATGATGGCAGATGCAAATTTTTTTTAATTCTAATTTTCACTTAAATTATATCATTGGTGATAAACACTGTCTATTGCTTTCCTTTAATTGTGACATTTTGTCCATTTTCTAGAAACTATCTGAATAGCCAGTTCACCTGTCAGTCTCTCTTTGAAGTAACAGTGGTGCTCCATGATAAAAACATCAATTCAGGCTCGGCGCCTATGGCTCAAGTGGCTAAGGCGCCAGCCACATACACCTGAGCTGGCGGGTTCGGAGCCAG